CATGCATATTCTTAAACTTGGTTTTCTTTTTCTTAATAAAAAAAAACATTTAATGAAAAAGGAAAAATAGTTAGGAAAAAAAAGAGAAAAAAATTGAAGCCAATCACATTCTAAAAATAATAAATGCGATAAAAAGCTTCTTGTTTTATTGTTTGAACATTTCTGGGCATTAAAATTTCAAATGAATTCTTGAAAAAAAAAAAAAAAAACCCTCGTTATCTTTAGAACCTAAGAACCATCAACATGGGTTTGTTGATAGTTGAGAAATTCGAGCAAGAGTTGAAAGCAGAAAGAAAAAAACATGCGGTTTTTGTAAGTGTTCTACATATGATAATCTTGAATGATTTTGAAGTTGAAATGATTTTACGTGTTGTTTCAGTATCAATTTTAAAAATTGGAACAACCAAGATCAATAGAACTTCACGAATAACCTCCATTAAAACCATCAACATATTAACCCTATATGAATTAACCCATTCATTTCTCTAACTCACTCAAATTGCAGATGTGAAAGCTCCATCGTCATCTTTTTGAATTCATGATTCGAAACCTCCAACGTTGTTATCGTGCTTCTCTCCCTCAATGGAAGACTCAACACACCAAGCTCCTTCCCATAGCTTCCTCCTGCCCTCACTTGCCATCAATGCTAGCGATGTTTTTTTTTTTTTTTTTTTTTTTTTGCCATCAAATGATCTATTGGATTCTAGCAAATGGAAGCAATAAGGAAGATTTAGTTCTGATGAAGAAAAGGAAGAAAAAGAAAATACAATGACGAAAATGGATAGAGAAGAAAGAAAAGATGAGGAAATAATAGAAAAAAAAATAATTGAGAGAAGAAGAGAAAAGAAGAAAAAGGCCAGATGTGAGCATTAAATGCTCTATGAAAAGGAAAGACAATGACAAAAACAAATATAGAAGAAAGAAAAGATGAGAAAATGACAGAAAGATAAAATCGTAATAACATTAAAGCACTTAATGGCAAGACATCAATTAGACAAAAAATACGAGGGTAAGATTTAAACAACTTGTGAAAGAAAAAAAAAAAAAAAAAGAAATACGTGACAGAGAGACTTTTGAAAGAGAGAGAGGAAAAAAGTAAACGAAAACACCACATGGCACAAAAAAGAAGATCATCTATAGTAATAAATCAATGGCCAAGACAGAACGAGAAAAAAAAAAAACACACAATACAAATGGCCCTTAGATCCACAGTAACTCTTGAGTCGAGATATACAGTGAATGAATAATTAACAACTTACATCTTTTAGTTTTTCTTGTTAATATTCCACGAGGTTGCATATTTCCAAAGTCGAGTTCCATTATCAAATAGCTCTCTGCGCGCCCCACCCCCCCCCGTTTCATTATCAGAATCTGGAAGCAAAACAAAACAGACATCAAATACATGGAACCAAAAGGTTAAAAAGAAAGTGAATGTCCAAAATGCCATTGGGAGTTGAAAAGAATTGCAAGAAAAACCTTTTCGGAACATTAAAACGCTAGGACTCTAGATTACTTTTCTTATAATTACAATTTATAATTTATAATAATTTGGCGTGTTTTTTTCAGAGAAGACACCAAGAGGTTGCAAATTTCCAAGTTGATTTCCGTCAACATTCAACAGATAGCGATAGGATCTCTCTGCCAAGGTCTTTAAAAATTGTAAGGATCATCCCATATACAAATAATTTCAAACAAAAGCACACAACGTGATCAATACTCCAGGCACCCTGCACTACGGATGGATGTCTCCATGTTTTAATCTTCCAGCCACAGATCACAGCATCTAGCTTTCCATTAAAGACAACGGAAAACAACCGATCAACAAGAGCACAACTCTGGACAGTTTTGTTCCCATCTGTAGTCTGCGACGGAAGGCACAAAGCAGCAAAGGCTCCATGACTTGTAATTGGCAAAAACCTAGGCTGCACCCCCGGAAGACATCAGCAAGCTTTGGAATATCAAAAGCAAACTATTCAATGCATTCACTGTTATGCGCTGGACTTAAACCGTGTACGCCTCTCTTCCACAGCCAGTCTGCTACATTACATCTTCTGTAGATAACATATAAACAAAAAATTTCAAAACACACTACTATCTAACAATTCTAACTGGACCCGCGGCAACTGGATATTTTGCATGCAGAAAGATTGTGTCTGAAAAGACACTATTCAATAACAAAAAGGCAGAACCAGCGGCATAAAACAGTTTTATGGACTCACAGTACAAAGAATCCTTAAAAATCAAGACTTTTAATGCAGGAAAGAAAACATGTTGGAGGAAATGAATTTCCAAACCCAATTTTATTATCAATGAGACAGCAATAATTACCACTCATCATCCTCACAACCTCCTCCTCACAGCGATCTCAGAAGCAGTCCAATCAGCATGCAGTTAGATCCAACTGTGAGCAAAACAGTGCATATCAAGATATAACAACACATAAATTGCCTATCTCATACATGGGTTCCAAAATATTATGGCCGCAGGACTAGTATCTCCCTTGTTCAGTTCTGTAAATGAAAGAGAAACTTATCCATAGACTCAATTGGAATTATATGAATGGATCAGTGCTCATAGAAGCCAATCGATAATTATAGAAATAAAGGTGCATGCAATATTTAGTGTATTTGCTCAAACCAGCTTCCAGTACAAATGGCATCAAATTTATTATTTTACAGCAGAGTCGCAATTCGAACATTGTAATCAAGCAAACTAGGAGCAAAAGAACAACAAAAACTTAAACAATTTTCTACAATAATCCCAATCCACTGAACCATTCATTTATCGTCGAGAAAAGTGGACATAACTTGAGGACATTCATTCTCAAACACAGGATTGATATAGAAAATAACTGCTGCTGATATAATCACATATTCAATATAGGACACTTCAGGACATTCGTCGATTTTATTATTTTACTTACACAAGGAAACCATAATAGAACCAACTCAAAAAGTTCAAAGAAGTGCGCAAGAATTACTTCCTCCTATCCTCATTCTCAGCCATAGTACTTAAGAGTCAGTAAGCTTTCTCGTCCTTAATAATCTAGTCCAAGGTTAATTGGCAAAGCATATTGACAGTAATCTGCAACTATCAAGTGTGATAAAATTCTGAAAATGATAAGATAGGGGCTTGAGTACTTTACATGAATGCTGTTCAGATTCTAGGCCACTTCTAGGACTTCGATTCAACCACCTTAACCAGATTAAATTTTAAAGATTGAATTGCACAATCAAATTTCCTCGATACTAAACTACTGATATGGTCACATCCTTCAATCTCACAATCTTACTAAAAACAACCATGAAATGCCCAGCTCATATAACTTTCAGAGAGAAAAACAGGCAACCAAATCAGGTTTCCATTGGCACGTGTTGCATTCAGATATTTAGGGTGCTTAAAGTAAGAACTAATAGTTTTCACAAACCAACAAGCAATAAAAGACAGGAACATAAATCTTCCTCATATATTTATCAAATATATATAAATATATGTATGTGTTTCCTTCTATTTTTGTGTCCATCATTATTTACCTGATCCAATGCCTTTTTTATATTTAACCAGTTGATATATCAAATTTGCTGAAACATATGCATGGTTCGAAGTAGCTGAAAAACTTTTTCAGACACTGGTCAGATCCTTATACACTATATGAGCATAGTTTGGCACTACAATCAGATGAATACCAACTATTTAGATCATAGTTACCAGAATCACAGCAACATCCTAGAATCACAATCAGGGTTGTAATCCCAGATTTTGCATCCCAGTTTTGCAACACCATGCAATCCAAAATTGGCAATCCACTGTGTAGCTAAGGCACTATACATATACTGATGTACGTCGTGAGAGGACAAGGGAACAAAGGGAAAGAATAAAAAAAGGATTGCATTAAAAGATTCAACCAAGTATATTTCTCTTAATGGTACAAATCGAGTTAATAAAATACTGATTAATTTGCTCATTAAAGTTTTAAGAAGTATCTAACTTCAAAGAAAAGAAAAACAAATGCAAGCCAGTCTGGGAATTTACTTGTTTTCGAAGTGGCATCACTAAAAAAACTTTAAATTAAGCACTTAAAGCGTACGACTGTGAGATGAAATAGCGAACCAACTAAGTCTACACCATGTACTAGATGCTAAACTATGTGACGTACTCTATCCAGCATCCATAGATGAACTGAAACACTTTGCATTCTAGGTAACTATGATCTTGGAACTATTTCTGATAGCTACAGTCTTGTCAGCTTAATAATTGCAACTCCATGATGACATAATATTTTCTGTATGATTCTACAATCTGGTAAAAAATGCAATGCCTTAATCGATGCATGACAACTTATCCCGTAATTCTAGCAACTCATTCGTTTTCTCTTCTTAAAAGACACGTTTCCTGTTAGTGGCAATATTATGATCGATCATGCGCGCTTCAAATAACGACACTGACGTGCATTGCTCATGCAATCCACAAATAACGACAACGACGTGCATGGCTCCCTCTTCAAAAAGGAAAGGCAAGCATGAGAAAATTGCTTGATTCCTCAAAGAATCAGACTTTCCTTAAATCGAGATTAAAAGCCATTAAAGTAACTGTTTTTTACTCTAATAACGGCATATTTATAAAGGGAAGCAATGCGGAGACGAGATGTGTAAGTCAATCACAACACCATATACCAACTATTAGGTTTTGGGTTCCAAAACAGAATTCATGTTGTTGGGATGACAAGTAACTAGTTCTCAAAAACCAGAACAAAAGAAGAAAAGTTGGGAAAAGCATCTTAATTTCAAACTAACTGAAAACATAAACACCAAAGTTATTCATATCTTCTACTCATTGGACTGACTGTTCTTATGTACATCTGCAGCTACCCATGACATAAACTATAACATTAACCCTTCCAACATTCCCAAAGGCTCCTCGGTGAATAGAAAAAGGCACAAAAACAAGATACATTTGTTACCCTTTCATCTTCACGGGATCATGTGTTTGTTACATTGATTTCAGCTGATGAGAAAAAGTCTGACAGTCACAGCCTCCAACTTCTCAGTCGATTCTTTAACCCTGCAGGGCAGGAGAACTACATCCTCAACTGTATAAATCAAAGCATAAAACAAATTAGGTGAAATTTCTTTTTTGTTAAAAAAAAGAAATCAAATTCAATAATCACATGTTCTTTATATATATATATATATATATATATATATATATAAACAATTAAAATATAACAAAGCACCTCTTCTTCATCATTTTTTTCCTCCTCATTTTCCACATTTGATAAGAACCAAACCCATATTGACTACGTGATTTTGTTCATCATCTTACTTAAAACAACAACAGCAAGCCACCAATTCATCTTCCTGTTTCATTGATTCGAGCCATCGAGTAGGAAATGAAAATAAAAACCCTTAAAACATTCAAGAAAATCAACACAAAATCACACCTTCGAAGGAGCTTCGTGAACCTTATAACAATCTGGGGTGATTGAATCCAGCCACATACCAGGAAACAGGCACTGCAAAAGCAAAACCAACAATAAACACACATCAATTAGTCACCAGTTCCATCAATTAACCAACATAAAAAGAAACTTTATAAAACAGAAATAAACAAAAAGAGAAATGATAAGAACACACATCAAGTAGTTTCTGCTCATGCTTTGCTCTCTTCTTAGGCCTTCTCGCCGGCTTTGACCCAGTCAAAGAATAAACATCCTCTTCAATTTCCTCTTTAGTGAGAGGAATCGAAAACCTCACCTTCTTGCCCTTTTCCTTCTCTTTCTCCTTCTTCTTCTTTTTATTATTATTAACATCATTAGCATCATTATTAGCAACACTATCATTCCGTTTGGACCGAGTCAATTCATCCCGATTACTGCCCGGCACCTGAGGTTGGATCTCCTGCACCGCACCTCCACCATTCTTCAAAGCACCTCCATTCCCATTCAAGCCCTTATTATTATTATTATTAACAGCTCTCCTCGGCCTCAGATTCCATGTCTTCGGTATCAATTCCTCCGCACCGTCCACTACGGCAGCAGAGTCCTGATCCCCTGCATCCGCAGCCACATCATCAACCATGCACTTGTTGCTGCTGTTTTTGTTAGCCCTCAACCGAATAAAGATCTTCGATTTCTTCTCCGAACTCTCAACATCATCAGATTTTTTCTTCGATAATTTCACAACCTTTACCCCGCCGTCTCCATCCGAATCCGCAACCGCTGAAGTCGCAGCAGCAGCATCGCGGTGAGGAGATTTGTTATTGCGAAAACGGTGGTTGTTGGTAGAGTTATTGGAATGGTTCATTGACCATTTTAGGTCTTGTAAAGGAAAGTTATGGAGTGGCTGGTGTTGTTTCACAGTAGTAGAAGAAGCCATGATAGTACCGTTTGTGTTTGGCTCGGTTTCAGCAATGGTGCGAAACACCATTGAAGAGAAAGAATCCGATTCTTTCACTGTTTGCAAGAACAAAACGACACCTAATTGAGTTTTCCGGTAGAGAAGAGAACCAGAGAGTGTTTGGAGTTTGTTGCTTGTTTGTTTGGTTGGTTGGATTAAGAAGGGAGGAAAGGTAGGGGAAGGGAATTGGAAACCTAGAAAGAAAAATCAGAGGAATCTGAGTCTAAATCCGAAGGAAACTGAAGGAGAGACAAAATCTGGTGCATACTTTTGTCTGAGAAGAAAAGATGGAGAGAAGAGGAGGAGAGGAAGCAGTTAATATACTACTACTCCTGGTGGATGAATTGGAAAGAAAACAAGAAGGTTGATTGCTTTTATGCCAGAATTGTCCTTGGGATTTTGTGTATTTGCATTTTGCCCTAGTGGGATTTGATTTTGATTTGTTATCACTCGGGAAGGGTTCTATCTATCCATCAGACTGTGTAGGCGTTTTTGAATCTTGGCTAATAAGGCAGGTAAGGTGAGCACCAGTGTAGATTTTGCTTATCTAGAATGCGATTTAGAATCCGTTGTTCTTAATTATGTTTTTCACTGTAATTGGTACGGGGGGACAAATTTTCACCTACATTACTTGATAAAATTATTTATTTGATATTGTTTTAAGTATAATGTGGTGGATTTTTATATGAGAAAAAGTAGTACAATTTTTAATATAGTAAATAATTCTTCACCGTGATTAAATCTTTTTTAAACATATTATAAAAAAATAAAATAAAAATCTCTGGCAAGATTCTTAAATCGTGTGTTAGGATTTCCGTGGATCAGTTATATCGAAGTATAGCAAGTGTTGTAGCAATTGATTGGGGGAATTGGTGACTCAATTGATGGGGTGACAAAACTAAAATAGGCATGCCTTTACCACGCAAGATTTTGTTGTCTATTAAAGTTATTCATTTTCCCTTGCATATTCTAAAAAACATGGCTACAATTAGTATAAGCTATTATTGAGAATCTAGTGAGTAATGTATTGAACATGTATGTTTTTTTTTTCCTCAATTGTTTCTTGCTAGATTTGATCATTATTTCAAGCAAGTTAATCTCCCAGCAGCATCCAAAAAGTGGCAACAACATTAGACCAGAAGGATCACTTCTTTTGGTGGTAAAAGGTGTTGACTACCGGTTTTCGCTGCTGAATGCTAAGACCAAGCGGCCCGAATCAAGGAAAAACAAAAACTTTTTCTTTAGAAGTTCTGTCCATGAATCATATTTCATCCAACGGTTATTTTGAATTGGACACACGCTGTTATCTAACGTGCGCTTAAAATAGTGTCAAATTCTTGGTCATAAAAGGGAAAAAAATTAAAAAAAAATAAGACTTGAATTTTCAATTCTGAAGTCGTCAGACCTCTCTTCGAATTCGTATATAGGGACACGTTTACACCATGCATCATCGTCAAAAGTAAGAGTGGATATACCCCAGGACGGTTATGTGGTTTGTTGTAATTGGGTTCCACTCATTGGCCAGTGCTCAGCCATCCAATTTAACTCTTGCTAGCTATCTGTCAACATCAGTGCCACTTCCATTTGGAAAATGGAAAGGACGTGCTATTTTTTTTTTTTGGTTTTTTTAACTATCCGTTTAATGAATAACTCAACTGACATTTGCTTCTCTCTTTTTCTGAAGTTTCGGGTTCAACGCAATGAATGCATTCAAAAGGTTTTTCTCTCAAAACTTTAACGTGGATTAGAATTAACATTAGCCGGTTGTACATTACGGATTCGATAAAATAAAATTATTTTAAAATTTTTTAATTATAATATTCTATTTGATTATTTTTTTTCTAATTTCTTTGTAAATTTTCTGATTAAAAAAATATAAATTGTTATTCTTTATGAATTGATTTTAAAATTAAAAATTATAATACTTTTAACTAAAATATTAATCAAGAATAAAAAAAAATTAAAAATATAATTTTCACAATATTGTATTTAAAAAAATAAAATTATAATTAATGGATAGATTTTTATAAAAATTAACAAATGAAAAAAAAATTATTATCTAATGTTGATGAGAAGATTAATTTTTAAAATTATCCACGTAACGTTATGGTAAATAGAACAAAATCATTTCAAAATGTTATAATTTTTTCATCAATTTTTTTATTTAATTATTACTATTTTATGTGTTTTTTTCATAAAATTTCTGCTTTAAAAATATAATTTATTCTTCTTTATTCAAGATTCTTAAATAAAAAATTGTAACAATTTCAACCTGAAATATTAATTAAGAATTCAAAAAAATTAAAATTATATATATATATATATATATATATATATATATATATATATATATATATATATATATATATATATATATTCAAAAGATAAAGTTACAATTAATGTATCGACTTGCATAAAAATTAATCAATGAAAAAATAAAATTTTATTCTTAGTTAATGTTGGTGAGATGATTTTTTTTTCAAGTTTATGCATTTGATCTATGTATATTTATTTACAAAATAATCAATAAAATTAGCATAAAAAACGGTATTTAAATAATTGGATGATTCCTTTAAAGAGTTACTTTAATTATTTTATTTCAAATAAATTGGTTCTATAATGTTAAAAAAATATTTATAGTAAATAATTTGTATTTATATTGAAAGATGTATAGTTAATTTTTAATAAAATCAATGATTCAATAATTTTTTTATACATCTTGATTATATCTTGCAAACCGAGATAAATTATTCGAAATAAACATATAACATTTAGAATAATATATATATATATATATATATATATATATATATATATATATATATATATATCATTTAAAAATTTTAAGAATTCATGATATATATTATACCAATTTATTTTTAAAAAAAGAGAAAAATCATGTTTTAAAATTTATTCTAAAATTCAATATAGAGAAAAATAATTTATATAATATCAGTAAATAAAATTTCATATAAAAAATATTAATTAGATTAAAAAATGATAAATTCAAAGAATGAAATTTAAATAACAAGAGTAATATAAGTCGAAGTATGTGTTAATTTTAAAATATAAAACGATATATTATATAATCGTCGGTTTGTGTGAAAAAAAGTTATGATTGATTTTTCAAAATTTTAACACCTAATTAAATAAATAAATAAGAACATAAGTGGATGAAAAAAAAATCAAAGGGAAAAACCAATGAAAAAAGACATCCGTAGTGTAAGAGTTAGAGGATTAAAATTTTTATTTTAAAATTTTAAGAACCAAAATGAAACAGTTTAAAAATTACAAAAAAACCTAAGTACTGTTCAAATGAATAGTGATTTCACTCGTTAAAAAACCTCAACTGATTTAGTTTTGTAGTCTATGTCCATCCAACCCAATCTAGAGTAGACTAGCCGATTACCGACGCTACGTTGCGAATCCGATAGAATAAAATAATTTTAAAATTTTTTTAATTATAATTTTTATTCAATTAATATTTTTATAATATTTTTTATAAATTTTTTCTTTAACAAAAATAAATCATTCTTCTTCATGAATTAATTTTAACTAAAATATTAATAGAGAATTAAAAAACAATTAAAAATATATTCTTCATAATATTGTATTACAAAAAATAAAATTATAATTAATGGATAGACTTTTATAAAAACTAAAAAAATGAAAAACAATTCTTATTTAATATTGATAAGAAGATTAATTTTTGAAATTATCCGCACAACGTTGCGGGTAGATAGAATAAAATTATTTTATAATTTTATAATTTTTTCATTAATTTTTTTATTTAATTATTAATATTTTTTGTATTTTTCATAAACTTTTTGCTTAAAAAAATGATTTATTCTTCTTCATTTAGGGATTCTTAAATAAAAACTTGTAATAATTTAAACCTAAAATATGAATTAAGAATTCAAAAATAAATACTTTAAAAATATATTGTTTTATAAGAATATATCAAAAAAATAAAGTAACAATTAATGTAGTTAATTTTTAATAAAAGAAAAATGATTCAATATATATATTTTTTTATACATCTTAACCATACTTAGTGAACTGAAACAAATTATTTGAAATACACTTTTAACTCGTTTAGAATAATATATATATATCCGTGTGTGTGTGTGCGCGCGCGCGCGTGTGGGCGTAAATATTATTTAAAAATTCTAAGAATTCATGATATATATTATACCAATTTATTTTTTAAAAAAGAAAAAATAATCATGTTTTAAGATTTTATTCTAAAATTCAAACATAGAGTAAAATAAATTATATTTATCAATAAATAAAATTATATATAAAAATATTAATTGGATGAGAATTTTCATAAAAAATGATAAATTCAAATAATGAAATTTAAATAATAAAAGTAACATAAGTCGAAGTATATGTTAATTTTAAAACATAATATATATATATATATATATTGCGTGAAACAAAAAAAAAAGCTAAGGATTGAAAAATAATTTTACAACCCGAGGGACGAAAAATAAAAAAAAAGTATTAAATTTGCATATTAATGCCTAAAACCACACACAAAAATTACTTAAATTTTCATAAAGTGAATAGTAATTTTATGCATATAAAGGTTAAGTGAATAGGAGTTTTAGGCATATGAATAGTTTGGATTCATGTGCTACGCTACGAGCCGAACAAAACATATTTATTTCAATTTGATAATATATACTATTTCGCCGTTTAATTAAAATCTATTAAATTAAATATAAAATTTCATCTAATTTTATAATTTTTAATCAAAATTTGTATCTATATATATATTTTTTATGCTTTGAATAAATTTTGAAGTAAAAAAATATGACTTGTTCTTTATTATGCATTTATTTCTAAATAAAAATCCATAATAAAAAAATTTTAATATAAAATAAAAAAAGTCTTAATGTTTTTTTTTATTTTATAACATTGCATCAAAGAAATAAAACAATAATTAATATAAAAATTTGTATGAAAATTAACAAATGAAGCTTTTTTAATGATGAGAAGATTACTTTTTTAAATATATATATTTAATTTATATATTTATTGACAAAATAATGAATAATATTAGTATATAAAATTGTATTTGAATTATTAAGTGATTATTCTAAAATATTATTTCAATTATTTTATTTTCAAAAAATAATTTTAAAATGTAAAAAAATAATGGCAAATAGTTAGTGTTATGTGTGTGAATAGATAGTTGATTTCTAATAAAATCAATAACTCTAATATTATTATTTTTATAAATCATGATCGCACTCAATGGATGAGAATGTATAACATAAATAAAAAAATATTTTTAAAAAATTAAATTATAAAATATATATTGAAGTTAATAGAGTGCATAAAATTTGATTATATAAAGAATAAGAAAATAAGAATTAAGCAAATAAAAACTGATATAAAAAAAAAACTTATTCGAATCCATACACGGAGAAACTAAATTATATTTATTAATAAATAAAATTATATAAAAAATAAGAATAAAAATTAACTTAATGAGAATTTCTATAATAAATCGAAAAGATCAAGTTTAAACAATAAAAATAGTATACATTTACTCTAAAATATAAAAACATATCGAATATATTATATAATCATATGATTAATTTTTAAAAATTTTATCACTCAATTAAATAAGAAAAAAGAACTTAAATTTATGAAAAAAAGCAAAGGAAAAAAAACCAAAGAAAAAAAAAAGAAAAGGTATATAATGCATGAGCTAAGGATTAAAATTTTTTATTTTAAAATTTTAGGGACTTAAACAAAATAATTTGAAAATTACAAAAAAAAAAAAAAAAACCTAAGAGTGAATAATACATTACGAGGGTAACAACAATTATATATATATATATATATATATATATATATATAAAGGATAAATTGATGGAAAAATGCAAAAAAAAAAAAACATATAGTGCATTAATTAAGGATTAAAATTTGAAGGACCAAAACAAAATTACCAAAAAAAAAAGAGTGAACAGTACATTATGAGAGGTGAACACTGTTCAAAGAATCCACCTCTTTTAGTTTATTAGTAATAATAATAATAATTTCTTTCAACTATACAGCCCAAAATTAGCAATTCCCATTCTTTGTTGGATTATATTATAAAGGAAAGTTGGCTAAAGAAATTACCCAAAATTAGCAACCGAGCATTTATTGCTATGAAACAAAATAAGCAAGCAACAATGAGCTATAAATAAACAAACGAGGCCTTACTCTAGGCCCACGGACTCGAGTTGTGGATGGGCTCAAAATCAGGCCGAGAAAAGGGAATCAGCATGGACTGGAATACTTTCAACTGTTTCCAGGCTCATATAAAATCTCTTTATTTTGGAAGGTCACCAGACGAACACACTCAATTCCGAGCAGAGATGCAGTGTTTTCGTAACTAATTACTTCCCTAAATATCTTTGCGCCCATTCGTCGAAACTAAAATTGCATGCGAATAAGCATCACCATACAGCATTTCCCTTATCCAAATTAAGCATTGTAGGATAGTGACTGCTACTTGCAACTTCGGAGACTCAGAGTTCAGCAGCCTGGCCTTCAACTTTAGCCGGCTTTATTTGGGCGAGGAGGAAGGGTAAGGTACAAGTTTCATGACAAGTGAGAGTCATTCATGTCCCTGGCACTTCTGCCTTCAATTTCAATGCACCCTGCATATGCATTCATGCTGTGGCACTGATGAAAATATGCAATAGCCTGGCCATCTGTTAACCTATCAGTGATTAGCAGCAAACATTGAATAAGAGCAACAGCAAGAAAAAGTAATTGATAACCAAATGTGAAATGCTCGTGAACAAACCTAGCCCTCCCCAAATCAGGTCTCTCAATCTTCAAAACTGAAGTGAAGGTCAGTTGTCAAGGATGTTCTTCCCCCAATTCGACAAGGTTTTCAAAATTCCTATCCATATGGCCATGTGCAAGATCAATCCAACAGTTTGCAAAAATGCATGTCCGGACAATAAGTTAAAGGTTATCTGAAAAAAGTTCACATCATTTGCACAGACACAGACACTAAAAGAAGAATCTTTTCAGCACAAATTTCCACAGGAATGTCCAAATATCTTCGAGTCATGAGTTTTTAGGATTAACTACCAATCCATGTATAACAATGTCAAAGAAATGTGTCTATTTGCTATGGCAATGCATTCATTAATATGAAGGAGGTGTCAATGCATGCACAAGAACTATATCTGAAAATCTTTTCCTGAAAAAAAATTTAAGAACTTGTATCTGGAGATTATGTACCATATTGATGACAGAATTGCCGAGTATAAATCATGAATAATTTAGATGCCGAAAAAGATAACTTACTTGCCATGGAACAGAACCCAGTCACTTCCAAATAATGCCTAAAATAAAGGCTGCACTCGGGAAGATCAAATCATCGCTGCCGAATTCAATAATACATAAAGGCTAAGAACCAAAGGGTAAGGCAAATCACTGATGCAGATGTCCCCAGGCAAGTCAGAAAGATATTAACAGATATGACACATCCATCTAATACAATTAGAATGAGAAAAAGTCCAAACACTGATAACATTAATTGTCAGAAGTATGTACCTAACTCACTCCATGGCAGGTAGCAACCTGCCAAAAAGATCATCACACTGAATCACCATATGTTTACTGTTCTCCATCTTTTATTGGGCTTTTTGTACTAGAGAACTCAAGCCAAAGTTTTGGAGCATCTGGATGAATTATATGTAGGCGAGCTACAAAACCCTTGTCACTGGTTGCAACAATGCTTGCAATGGAGTACTCGCGCTTACAGAAACCCTTTTCTGTGAGGCACTTATGAAATCTATGTCTGGGTTTAATCCGATTCTCCAAGTTAAAGCACAAAAAGGAAGGAAAAATATCAAGGTACTGCAAGGAGGATTTCATGTCCTGGCAAAGATAGTTTAATTTTTGTCTCAGTATCTCAGGTTTTTGGCTAAGGATCTTCGGCATCATTCTTATCATTGAACAAAGCTTCGAGAATACAATCCCATAATGAAGAAGGCAATCAACTCGTTCTTGTAATTCACTATCAGTGCCATGCAAGTTACTTAAGACCTTAATAGTTAAAGCATTCTCTCCAAACCCGATTGCATGCAAGAACTCCAACTTATTCATTGTATGCAAGGGGGTTCTTGTACGTTGGATCCTTTCCAAGCAATCTCTGTATTTTTCATCCAAATCTTCATCAGGATCGCTCATGGCATAACTAGCTAGCAATTGATGATTCCCATCTTTAATTTTATTGAAAAACCAATCATGTAACTCCATAGCTCTCACCACATGTGGTAAATTGGCCATTTTATTTCGGCCGAATACATGAGCATAATTTTGAGCAGTATATTTCAATTCTTCGGCACTCAACCCAAAATGCCTTAACAGCCCCTTAACTGAAATCACCTGCCTTTCCAACTGAAAATTCAAAATCTCAGGCTTCTTTAGTAATAAAAAACCAACATCCTCCTTTCTAGCACCAAATTTACAAAAATACTCAGCCTTTTGAACCAAAACCTCTTCTGGGTAATCAACAAAAATCCTTTTACTCTTCCCCAGCAACTGCCCTACCTTCCCTTTCTCACAACCCAAATCATAAAACACCCGAATTTTTCTACAAATCTCATACCAAGCATCCACATTTCCTTCAACACAATTCCCCAAATCAAAATCCACGAAAACCCTTTTCAAATCATCAAATAAAGCACCAATCTCCTCACTCAATTCACCTCTCAACACATAAGGAAACGCCAAACAAATACCAATCACCGATGTATTACTAAAACCAAAACCCTTAAAACCACAAAGCCTAGACTTCACCTCCTCCCCACTCATACTAAAAATATCCTTCTTCTCTTTATACAACATCCCCAACTTATTCCAAGGAAACCCAAAAGCACAAAGGACACAAGAAACATTCATAGCACTCCCCTCTTCAGAAATAAAAAACTTGTCATTAGACAAAAAACCATTAACCTCGTCATAATCAATCCCAATACTTTCATAAAAAAACTCTAATTCATTAATGGGGTGGTACCTGAGATACTTTTGAAGTGAAGTAGCGAATGTTGGGGCAGAGAAATGAATGTTGGAGACGAGATTTGAGAGAGAAACAAGAGAATGCTTGCTTATTTGATCTGCATAAGTGTATGGTAGTGATCTTGTTGAGTGTAGATAATCTGTTACAGCTTGCTGGGCTTGCTTGATAGCTAGATTCTTGTACTTCCATGGCACATTCGTAAATATTGGACGTTTTGGTAGAGAGCTACTAAAATGGCGGCAAAGTTTTGTGCAGATTGAAATTGGTATTAGCATCTCCCAATTTTTAGGGTTTTATCTCTGCTTTTTCAGGGCTTTATGTTTATTAGCTTGAAAGGGTTTGGTTTTTTGGGGTGTGTCTGTGTGTCACTGTGTGTGTGCGTGTGTGCGTGTGTGTGGAGGAAGGGTACAGTCATGATTCTCATAATTTTATGCGTCCTTAGTATTCAGAAGAAATCTCAACTTAGCTCCTAAAGTATTAACTTATTATCAATTCATTTTAAATCTTTTGTAATTTTATCAAGAGTATACACATTAAACTTTCATAATCCATCTACTATTAATGAATAATGATGGTTAAAATATTTCATTCATTCTATTTATACATGCTGTTTAAGTGTTTTTCATCTAAAATATCAAACAAAAACTTTAATTTATTTTAAAAAATAATTTTAACATCGAATCATGTTAATTTTTTTGATATGAGTTGACGAAGTGAAACTAAAGTAATTTTTTTTTATAATTTGATAAGCTAAAAATTTAGTTATTATTTTGAATGAAAATACTTTAGAGCACATACAAAATAGATGAAATCTTTTAAATGTCGGTAAAGGTGAATAAAATGGAGGGCAGATATTGTCAAAAATAAATTATATTCAGAGAATATTGATAAGATCAAAAGTTTGGAACTCAATTGCTAATGTAGTAATATGGTAAGAGCTAAATGGAGGGTTACCTATTATTTATTGGAACCTTCCTTTGATTGTCTATTTATTCCTCTCTCCAAACGAGGACTAAAACAGTCTTTGATGGCGCAACCTTGGGAATTACCGTTGAACCCTTTACCCCCAGGCACCGAATTGCCCAAGCCAAACCTCCTACCGGCGACAACCAAGCGCCGCCGGGACGAGTTTGACGGTGGTGAAACCGAGGGTTCCGCTGCAAAACGGCAAGCTAAAGCAGATGTTATATTCAGGATCGTGGTCCCGTCGGGACAGATCGGGAAAGTAATCGGCAAACAAGGCCATCGTATCCAGAAGATTCGAGAAGATACGAAAGCCACAATCAAAATAGCCGACGCCGTCGCCGTTAGTAATAAAATCCATTTCCCCCATCTTGATTGAAAATCAGGGTTTTGTACTTAAATTCAAACGATTGAAAATTGAAAGATTTTTTATTTTTATTTTATTAATGTTGTGTAGAGACATGAAGAGCGCGTGATAATTATAAGCTCGAAGGAGAGTGAGAATGGGGTAACTGCCGCGGAAAATGCATTGCAGCGAATAGCAGAGTTGATTTTGAAAGAAGATGATGGAGGTAGTGGCGGTGGCGCTGTGGAGGTAGGGAAAGCTGTTAATGCAGGGCATGTGGCTGCAAATACGATAAGACTATTGATAGCTGGGTCGCAAGCGGGTTCTTTGATAGGAATGTCTGGTCAAAATATAGTGAAATTGAGGAACTCGTCGGGTGCAATGATCACAGTTCTTGCGCCAAATCAGTTGCCTCTCTGTGCTTCTGCTTATGAATCTGATCGTGTTGTACAGGTTGGCTTGTTGTCGTCATCTTTATATTTGGATAATCAGTTTAATGATCTTGCGTTTTAAGGTTAATACGGGGTTTTGATGCTTCTTTGTTTGATTTAGTTCGTTGTTAGCAGTTTCATGAGTAAAAACTTATTGCCTTGCAATAGATTCAGTCCTTTTTTAACTGTAAATTTAATAAAATTGGTATAATATTGAGAATTTTATTGTTGCTTTATTTGATTTCATTTTCATCAACTGTGAAATGGATAACTAGCTGAAACCGGATAGAAAGAATAATGGTGACTGAAGGTTTTGTTAAATACAGTTATCAGGAGATGTACCTGTAGTGCTAAAGGCTCTGGAGGAGATTGGTTGTCAACTCAGGTTTGGGATGCTGTGTTGATTGATGTCATTTGGTGTTTCAGTCTTTTGTATTGTCCTGTGAAAATATTTTTTTTGAAGTTGATAATGATTTGGGTTTATGTGATTTAGGGGAAACCCTCCTAAACAAGTGATTTCTATCAGTCCAACGTACAACTATAGCGTAGTTCCGTTTCAACAATATGCGCCCCAAACTGCAGGTAACCTATTGTCATGTCATAAAAGGAACAAAATAAACAAATTATACATGCCGACTGCTACTTTATGTGGCTTTTTCAAATGTTAATATTTTTGTGTTATAACCACATCATCTTTAGGACAACCAATCTTGCAGCTGATTATGTAACCATGGAGATGATGGTACCAGAGACGATGATGGGTGGCTTGATAGGCAGAAGTGGTTCCAATATCTCAAGGATCAGAGTGGAGTCTGGAGCTGTGATCAAGGTGAGCTGATGTCCTAATCTTCACCTGTGATATCCAATTCTCAATCTCTTGGTGATTTCTGGTTGAGAATTCAAATATTTAGATCTTTTAGCATTTCTGGGTTTATTAATTTCATAAATTACCTGTTTCACGAGCTGTCTAGCTTGACAAAAACATTTCAATATACAACTTGGTGAGGATGAGCAAGTGAGTATTCTTCTCTTTGGTTTTCTGTGCTACAGGTTCATGGTGGTAAAGGTGCACAAAAACATAGGCATATACAACTAGCTGGCAGTTCTCAGCAGGTATTCCTACTGTCAACCATCAATTTGCAATAAAACTAGTATGGATTTTTCCACAACAAATAAGAAACTCAAAAAAGTACATCAATGTAACATATAAACAACTGCTTTATTGAATTTGTTGTTAGTCTCCTGTTTTTGTATTCTAGCTTTATTTGTCAAAAGAGGCAATCAGATTGTGTTTGTTTTAAGTAACCAGAATGTGTTTTCTTAGAAATGGGGATGCTGGTAATGATAAGGAGCTGCTGGCTTATAGCTTTTTAAGTTGTAATTTCCAAGGTTTTCTTCTTTTTATTGAAACTGCTGGATGCATAACAGGTGGCGTTAGCAAAACAGAGGGTAGATGAATACATATTTTCTCAGTTAGTTCAACAAGCCGGTACTCAACAGTAAGCATTCCTGTCTCAAAATGCTTTCAATTCTTCTCGCCTTGTTTGGTTGTGAGGTTTGCTGTCGTATTTCATAGTTTGTGGGAGAGCTGCCCATATACCTGTTGAATTTCCGCTACTCCCCCACATTCTTCTGCAGTTCAGGGAGAATCAGTTTTATATTCTAAAAGCTTTCAAATATGCATTTGAAGGACAAATTTGTTGATAGCTATTGACCTCTTGATCTGACTATTGGCTGGAATATTAGTTTGTGCTAATCTCGGATAAAATTCGAAGAATCTACATACCTTTCTTTTGGCCTTTGGATGATAAGGTGTATTTTCAGGTTGCAGAGATGATGAAGCTGGAAGGTAACATCTTTGTCAGGCTTGTCTCCACATTTGTTACCCACCAAAACAAGCTCCTGGCCACTGCATAATCTCGCCTTGTACCCTTGAACTTCATTGATAAGGTCTATTCATTTTGTCGCGTGAATGATGTATTGGATTTTGGGATGCTAGTGCTCCATGAAAAAGTTACCTTTTGCCGTAATGATTAATTTGGAAAAGCTGTTGAAAGGACGGGTTATGGTGATTACGTGTGCAATTAGGATTTGACCCCTTATTGAAATACCATTTATCTTCTAAGCTGCTCACATTACGGAGAGCAACATGAGAAAAAGTTCTGCTAACTTGATCAATTGCGTTGGCATAACACTACACTGATTGAGCAATCAGGAATAGCCGAAAGTTTTTAGCAATAACGAAGCCCAATACCTTCTGTTAGCTGTTTGGTGCTAAATCACGTGATTTAAAGAAGGATCTTTTTAATGCGAATGAGTATACTTAATCTCGAGCTCAAGAAATTTAAGTTAGAAGCTTCCTATTAAATCTGGAACGTGATGCCTCACCAAGTTAATGTTCAGTGCGGATGTATATATTCTGGGTGTGAATGCTGAGCGAAGTTTGTTTATCCCCTCCATGAAATAACATCAGTTCGAACTTACACTCAAGACAAATAGCATTACAAAATTTCCCAACGTGATATTACAAAATTAACTTTACGAATCGACAGAGGTAGGTTTCTGGGTCTTCAATCCAAACAAATTCTCAAATAATTTAGGGGCCATGGGAGGTATGTTCATGGGCCGAGGAGCCATGAAATTGACAATCCTTTCATGGACATTATACCTACAAAATTATCATTGATGCCGAAAATCAATTAAATGCATTGGGCTAAAAATAATGAAAAATAACAGCATAGAAAATGGGCTCTTCCAATATATACCTGATTTTTCGACTTTTTGAAGCACGCCGATCAACAATCTTTCTCTTCTTAGTTTGCAATCTTTTTAGAGCATAAAAGGCCGCCTCTGTGGACAATCAATAAGCAAGATTAAAAGCCATTAAATAAGCCTGGGGCTGTTAATTGAGGAAACCATCTGATTTTCTTTCTTAGAAATGAAGACTGTAAAAGTGAAAAATGGCCACTAACTACGGCTTTATAGATCCTTGGGAGGGCTGCAGGTCTAATTCAGAGATTTTCTACACAAATATAAGCAAAAGGATGAGATAGTTTACGTACCAGTGGATGAGGGATCGACAGTCTCAAAAAATTCCTTCAACAACTGCTGATAAAATTCAGCGTCATTTAAAAGTTCTGGGTCACCATCAGGATATCCTTCCTAATCAGAATTGAAAGATTTAGCAATAACTGTTAGATTTGCAATATCTAAAAATTTGTTATGATGAAAAGAAGAGAGAGGGAGAGAGAGATATTAAAAGGGGAGAAAAGGACTGCGGGGAAACACCATGTCCACAGAATCAGGCATTAATATTACAATTCTATCGACACACTCTCCAGTCTTAACCTGATGAGATGTAACCCAATTTCAATTAACCATCTGCTTAGGCCATTTGCTTAGCCTGTCCTCACTCCGTACCTGGATTCTAACTCAGTTTTTAACCACATTACCAAGTGGGAATGTGGAATACCTAAACTGACTACGTTTGAACTAAAATGAGAATAAGACATACTAATTACTCATCCATAGGATTACCTCTCCCTTGGCATTGCCCATCAACTCAGGAACCTGCCCATTAGTAAAAGCCAGGTAATCAGTAACAGCAAAAGAAATTATTCAAGCTCATCATAACATGAATTTTGCATCATTTCTTAGACTAAACTAAAAAGAATTGCCAATTATCTTACAGCTCCAAAAACACCAACAGTTGATCTTCTTTGTTGCATTTGCTTAACCATTTTAGTTGGATCCCTCATGTAACCAGCAACTTGTTCACTGATATTCTGTGATTGGAAAAGGAAAATCCAGTGAGTTTCATCATATCCCTAGAAGCACAGTGGTCTTGATCAGCTACAGAGCCAAACCTGATTAAAAGCCTGCAATTTTCCTTTAATTGCAGCAGCACCAGTTGTCATCTGTGTCTTTCTCTGCCATTTATCTATCGATTTGTTTCTGAAAGGAGCTATTCTACAAGGTACAAGCATTTAAAGTGTTATACTTAATTCATGTGTTCATATCCATTTCCACAATAATATTTCATATCTCATTCTAAATCCAATGTATCCCTAGTAAGACCACTAGTTTCCAATAGGAAGAGGAAGAAGGGCGTTTGAATTTAAACCTGCATGCAAAACTCAATACTATTACCTGCTCAAAATAAAATATCAATAGCAGTGTATCTACAGATGAATGTAATACCTCTTTTGCATTTGAGAGATTCTTAACCAATCTATATCCTCTTCTGCATCCGAGTTTGTAGAATCTTTTGAATGCTTATTAGCAACTTGTCCAGAATCACCTAAACAAAATAACGAAGACAAGAAAAAATTACATGGAGCTCCATTGTGCACCCATCTTAATAAAGAAAGCATTTTAGGATTTAAATGATGGGTTAATGGACCACTCTGACAAGAAAGAAAAGGTTGCATGTTTGAAAAATCACAACTTGCGTAATACTAAAGTAAAAAAATACTGCAAGGGGAAATTCCAAAGGCTTCAGAATCAAAGCAAGACTAAATGAAGGTTGATGCCATTAAACAGCCACTCAATCGGGGAAAAAAAGATACAGGACTTTTTTTTTTTCTCCTTACATCAAAATATTATTTTATTGTTCAGATCCACACGGGACTTTCTTACTGAAAGACGTAACTTTTGGGAGAGACTGCAGTTCATACTGGAAAAGGAAAAATCATTATATACACGTGGAGAATTTTTGAAGAAAATTACAATTTAACTTCACAAAGAACATTTGCTGTATTGACGTAAAGGATCATAGAAAAATAAAAAATAAAAAAACATTAGCAGCATCTAAAAATGGAAACATGCATTCTAAATGCATTTTGGTGTTCAATTCAAAGTCAAGACTGCAAATGGAATATCCTTCCCCTCCCTTCCAAACAAACATAAAAGTAGTTATACACTTGAATCATCCAATTTATTTCTCAACATCATATTTGCCATTTGTAGTTTTTAAGTGTTATTCACACAATTCAAACTTTTGGGCTCCACATCTTACACTGAGAGGAGATGGAAGCTGCCTCTTTTCCTAGAACAATAAGACTGAAAAAAACAAGTACCAATCAGAACAATGCCCAAGAACTAAAAGAGGCACATTCCAAAATTTACTTCCTTGGACAACCAATGCACATAACACCTAAAATGAAAGAATCATTGTACAAAAATCATTTAGTATGCTAGCCTGCAAATAACAATGGCAAGACATGAACTGCAGAATGTTCTAATACGAACAAGCATTTGCAACATACCATCAGAAGATTGAGAAATAGATGGATTCTTCACGAGCAAAGCCTGATCACATAAAGTAAAAACAACCCAAGTTAAACAAAGAAATAGAAATTGATGAGATTAATGTACGACAGAAAAGACCAAATACAGCCATACCTCCTGTAGCTCCAGTAGAGATTCCAAAGTCTCCTTGGATGAGGTAATCACGTCAGCATATGCCGTGCCGACTACTTCATCTGAATCACAAAATGAAGACCTAACTGGTTCCTGCAATCAATCCCTTTCATGTTTGACCAGAATGCTTCAAGCAAGTCATTGAGCAATAAAAGAGGTAAACAAATCTAAAGATACCTGTGGTAATCTGTTTGAGTTTGCAAATGCTTTTTGAAGTAAGAATCTGAACTCAAGAGTTTTGTCCCAGAGAGCCTTAAGAAAATGGTAGAGGTTAATGAATATTTGATCACAGCAGAAAAAAAAATCTGATCCAAATATATTTCTCTGCGATCCGTTATTAAGGATGACAGTGGCAACATACATATCACGAAAAAGAAGATGTGCACCTTTTGGTTCTTCACTGCTTGACCTTTAACAAGATCTTCACCTTTGTGGCGTTTAAGATTCTTCCATATGTCTCTAAAATTACGAAAAACAAAAAACAAAACAAAAGTTAATTGAAGCAGATCTATTGCCTAAAAAACAAAACAAAAGTTAATTGAAACAGATCTATTGCCTAAAAAACAAAAAGCACTGGAAAAAATGCTCCAACTGTAAACTAGAGAAATATAACAAGAAGGTCCATTCGCCAGTGCAAAGTTGATCCCTAAGTACAAATTTCAAAGATACCAAATTCATTATAAACAACATATTATTGAGGACTTGTGCTTAATTAAAATATTATTCTACGAAGATAAAAATCATAAAAGAGAATTCTGTCTCACTGCTCTTGATTGCGAAGATTCCTATATTCTTTCTCGAGGTCTTCCATCTCACCATCTTTTACCCTCTCATTCTTCTCATCGTTCTCCTCCTCTTCTTCGTCTCCTTCTTCTTCATCCGCATCCTCCTCCTCCTCCTCCTCTTCCTCTCCTTCTTCTTCATCCCCATCCTCCTCCTCATCATCATCCTCATCCTCATCCTCATCCACGTCATAATCTTCCATCTGTGCGTCATAAACCAGAGAGTAATTAAAACGTTTTGTAAGTAATCGTTGTAGTCAACCATTAAACAACAGAAGAAAAGGCAAAACATGACTAACTGCAGCAAGCTGCTCGCTTTCCATATCATCAAAATCTTCAGAATTATTTTCGCTGTCACTGTCTCTACTTGTTTTCCTCGACCGCTTCTTAGATAACCCCATTTTGATATCTAATATATGAAAATTGTTTCATAAAATCAGAATCCTTTTTTTTCTCCCACAACAAACAATTCAAACCCCAATTAACAAACTCACAAAAAAAAAAAAAAAAAAACTATACCTGCTAATAAAAAAAACGCTTGATCCAAAAATTAGGGCAACGAGGGAGCTTCAGTCTGGCCTCAGGGTTTTGGTGTTGCCTGCAACATCTTAAACCCTATAATTGATTAAAAGAGGAAGGAAACAAAGTAATATGGACTGGGCTGGATTTACATCGGGCTCGCTTAAATATGAAGGAAACTAACTAGCCCAATTTTTAAATAGATTGCGGGATTATGGAGAATTTTACATTTCAAACTCTTGTGATATCGAGCCCCCATTAATCTAATACCAATACCTTTTAAGTTGATTCCAAACAAACTACAATCACATATCATTGAGTCCTGCTTTTTTTACTTTTTGTGATAATTGCATATTAGTCCCAATAATTAAGTCTCGTGGTCAAGAAGGTTGCTCCATCTCTTGAGCTAATTGATTCGAAATTTAAGGCTGGCATTTAAATGGCTTATTCTTTTAAATACATTAGGTCTATATGTAGTGGTCCGCAGCAAAGCAACCATTGGTTATCGGTTAATAGAGCCAGATCCACATCCGAGCCTTTTTCATATAAAAAACTTAATTTTAATTGATTTATAAACCGATAGGAGAATATCCTTTTATTATTAGATTAAACGAAAAAAATACTTTTTAGCTGGAAGGAAAAGTTTTTTTAATCTAAATTAAAGGACAATAAATTCATATCCATCCCACATATCTCAATATATGGATCTTGCAATCGAAAACCCTCCGAGAAGGTCTTTGTCTTGCAACATTAAAACTGTCAAAATAAATTAACGATACTGTTGGGTAGGCTAAGCCCACGTTACTGTGGGTTAAGTTCGTCTAAAATAGGGAACACAATTATTTCAAGCTAGCAATGGGAAGTTCTAATGGTAGACCCCTCAAAAATTGGATCAAACTTTGGACCACTATTTAATCAATTCCGTGCTTCTCATGATAGTAGACCCTTAATGAATCGGACCTCAATTTAATTCGACTGATTTTGATATAATTAAATAGATTTGATTTATAATTTGAATTTGATTGTAATTCAATTTGTTAATTTATTTATTAAAGTAATCAAATTTTAATCTATTTTAATTCCATCCTCTAATAATTGGATTATAATATTTTACAACCATAAAAAATATACTAAATAAGAAAAATATAGCATTATATTTAGATTTAGGGTTTATTTACTCTCAATACTAAATTATGCTCTATACTTCAATTTTTTTTATATTGACGATTATTCTTTCAAATAATTACATGATAAATTTTTTTCATTCGTCTTCGAATCTCAAATTAATTTTGTGAAAAATCCCATAAACGTTTGAAACAAAAAAAATCAATGAGTTGTTGGTAGTATTATACTTCTTTTTCTAATTTATAGAGACTTTATCTAGTTTAAATTTTTCTTTATTTCAAACTTGTTATATATAAATTAAACACCATAAATTTTTTTCATACTAATCAAGTTTTGTCCAGATCGAGTAGGTTTTTTTAATTAATTTTCTTCCACTTTATCTCACTTATTGTCAAATTTAAACTAATTTTGATCTTCAATGTAAATTTTTATCACGAGATTCTTGATTTTGTTGTTTTGAGACATTTTGATTTTCTTTTATTGATATATTAAATATTATCATAACATATTTTTTTATACATATAAAAGTTAAAATTCATTTACATCAAAGCAATGTTTTAAATGTAACCAATAAATGACAAATTTGATAAATATCCAAATTAATATCGAATCCGTTATCACTCTAATAGACAATTCTAAAATCCGAATTCAAATTCATAAAACTCAATTCGGTTCATTTATTAAACAAATCGCATCTAAAACTATTGTGATTTAAATCCTAATCCGACATGTTAACGGCTATACCTACCAATGTTGTGTGGTAATTCAAAGTAGTAAATATTGCATTGCTTTTTGTTTGGAGACAATCAAAATCCAGCGTGAATTCCCTTGAAATTAACCTTATCTGGATCACATGGCCAATTATACATGGGCTCCATAACAGCGTGGTCCTGTCTTCGGTTTTTTTTCTTTTTAAGTATTTTTTACCATTGTAAGATTCAAACCAAGGCGGTCCATTGACACAAATTCTCATATTTATGTCGCAACTCTCCACAAATGTAATAATGGCCAACCATGCACACGAATACACCACCATAAATTCGATATTATTGTTAAATATAATATAGTTTAGATTCTCATTCTAGTAGCCCGCACGTGCGATCACTAAGTCTCAAATAATTTCTATCATACAGCTCTGTCAAGCGCACTTTAGGGAAAAAGAAAAAAAAACAATTCCTATTTATGGATTTTAAAGTCCTTAAATGAAACAATCGCAATACATGTATTTGTTTCAAGTGCAAAGAAGTACCATTGTGGAATTAAAGTTTTCTTTCTATATTTTTTTTATTTTATTTTTTGATACGGCAAAACCAAGATGGAAATGACTGAGTGAAAATTCGAACGTCTTCAATGAGTAATGAGTGTTCCGTTTCATAAAGAAGAGTTGATTTTGCATAATCTTTTACTAATCTTATATATAGCAGCGTATGATTAAAGATTTGATTACATGGTTATGATTTTTGGAGGCTTAATTAAACGAGGGGAGTGATCAGGTGGAGAGCACGTGGGGGACAGCCAAATATATATGCTAACGAGGTGCATCATGGGGGCTGTCGGAGATCCATTACTGAGGATTGAGGAGTCACTCACACGGGAGTGGGGGGGGGGGGGAGGTTGGGGCGGCGGCGGCGGAGGAGGCTTTGGCTTTCTGCTTTGCTCACGCACCGTGTATTGGGAACTTGGGATGCAATATTGGCATCGGCTGGAGAAGTCCATCCGCAGTTTTCAATCAACAAGATCCAAGTCAAACTCGCGGAAAATTTTGATCGTCGTCATAAAAATAAAGATGATATATTCATATTTAGAATGTAAAAAATTTAACTTAGAGGTGGTAACCTTTAAACCAAAATTTCTATGGTATATGGTTTATCATTTGATATTAATTTATAGTTATCCAATAATGTTTTGAAAAACATGACACATTATGCAAAGGGGGAAAATTAGAGCTACTAATTTTATTCTCAATCAAATTAAGAATTAATTACGTATGTGAATTTCGATGGTCCAAGAGAGAAATATAAAGGAAGGAGATGAAAAAAATGAAAGAATTTGACGTGACAAAAGTAATAGAAAACTAGCATAAGAAATATTGGTTGTCGCTTAAGGCATGGTATGTTCGTTTTTTTTTTTTTTTTATTATTATTATTTTGTGAAGATAATCCTTGCGTGGATTGATTGGTAAATATTTACCATAATCATAAGTTAGATCCTTCTGCTCTTTTATTTGGTGATAAAAAAAGGTGTTGTGGTTTGTTGACAGAAGAAGTGAAAATAACCCCCCGCCGGCGGCGGCGCCCCGGGGGGGGGGGGGGGGGGGGGGGGTGGGTGTTGTTTATATATGTTAAAACCAAACGTAAAATATGACTCTCATAAAAATATTAATTGGTGCATGGGAATAATTGTGTTCGGTTTAACCAATCAGAATTAACATATTTGAGAGTTGGATATTTTGGTTGACATGTTTATGATAGGGAAATGTTTATATAAGCACCTTTTTTTTTTAGAAAATAACGAAAGTTTACTAAAATACTTCCTCCAACCACTTAAGTTTTACTTGCATGGTACAACGATTGTGTTTTATGCAAGGTTCAAACATGTGAATTTTTTTTATAGGAATGTGAATTTTTTAATTTTTAACACAAGAAGCAGTTACTTCTGCATTTTTTTCACATCGAGTACTGCCTCTGTCCGTTCACAGTATATGTACAACACACATATCCCTTATTCTTGGCATGATACAAACACGACACGTAGGCCAACATGAATTGCTCCTCCGTGGCAAAGGGAACTAGAGTACCGTCTCTCTTTTCCGCGGCCTTCCACTTGTCAATTTGGCTAACAAGCATCAAGCATGAAATGTCATAATTCTACATTTTTCAAATGCATCAAAATCAATGAAGAGAACTAGTAAATTAACTCAGACAATGTTACACACTTTCAAATTACCTAGGCAGCATCCGTTGTAGTATTAAAAAGGGAAAAATTAAATTTGTTATAAAAATAGATGGATTGCATATTCAACATGTAACATTACATTTCTTACGATCACACACATATGTTTATAAATAGAACTAAATAGATATGCATATTTTATGTTTTTTTTTAAATAATAATGAAGAAACTAAGACTCGCAACTTTTAACCTGAACAAGTCTTCTTAAGTCAACTCTATGTCGTCTCTTTAAACCAATCATGGCTCTCTTCTTTCCTACCAGCATAGAATTCATCGGAATCATGCAGGCCACCAATTGCTATGATTAGTCCATCAAGTCTCCATGACATTTTTTATGTTTGAATCTCTGTTGTGAAATTATTGTTACGAGGGTAGTTTGGTAATATTACAAGTGTCAAATGATTGGATTAGATTGGGTGTCTGGTTAGGGAGGAACAGGATGACACGCGTGGCTGGATTCAAAACGTTGGCATGGGACCACGTGTCCAAAAGCAGTGGCACGTAAGCAGAAGCGTATGCAAGAGCACGTGAACTCTGACACTGCGTCCTCATTTTACTCACGTGATTTCACCCGCCCCCGTCCCCACCCAACATGGGCTCACTTTTGGGTTCTACTTGCATCTATCGCTTTCTCATTTCTAAACCACAACCAATGGATCACTGGCTAATCGGCTGTGGTGGGTTTTTACTTCCTACCATTTGTTTTGATTTTTTATATTTAGTTTTTCTTAAAATATTTTACAGAAAAATTTGACAAAAACAAATATTTTACTATCATCTCACTTTTAAATATATTTCATTTATTAAAAAATATTTTTAATTTATGGATTTCCATAAAAAAATTTTACGGATAATAATTAACTAACTGTATAACCCAAACATTTTATTAATTACAATAATAACCTTGTCATCACATATTATTGCTATCATTCCTCTGCTACTAACTTCGTTACCTCCACCACCACCTTTGCCTACTATTATTATAACAATCACTTCGATCAGGTCACTATTTTATAACCATCACTATCATTGTAAGTATGCCACCATCACATACATCACTACTATAACAATTATCATCATGCTCAATTTCATTTTTATCACCACTATAATAATCACTATCGTCATCGTCATCACTTTTTCAGCATCACCTCCGTCGTTCTGTTTATAATCAGTTGTTGATTAAATCCTCTTTTTTTTGTGATAGTCACTCAATCCCATGTCGTTATAGGTATCGTGTGCTTTTTTTTCCCCTTAACACTAACAATTAACCACTAATTTGGATTAAATCATATAAAAAATTATAATAACCACTAATTTGGATTAAATTATTTTAAAAAATTATAGTATTAAATTTTGTCACATGTAACACTTGATTCGTGGTGTTGGTTCAAATATGATTAAAAATTAGTTTGTGTTAAAAAAATAAGTTGCTATTGTGAGTAAAAAATTTAAATTTAAATAAATGCATCTGTGCATGTGTGAATTACCTATATATATATATATAGTTGATTGAAAAAAAATAATAATAAAACACTGATGTTCAAAATACATTCATATGCAAACATAAGCGAGATTAAGAAGCATCAGTGGACACAAAAATCGGTATTAATAAATACATGTGATAGTTATTTTTATATGAAAGATTAATTATTTGTCATTTCATTTTTTATATATCGAGACATGAGATATATACATGCAAAAGTTAATTGAATGCTCGCTGAAAGCTGGACATGGTCGAGGCTCGGTCGCTAGATATCCCTAGGTCGATAAGTCCTGTTTGACAAATTAAATCTGCAAACCACGAAAAATTAAGTGAAAAATAAAAGCCTAATGTATATGTTGGAGCAAATCCATTAACATGCTAAACTATATATAATTCCATTGCTTATGGTTTTTATTTTTTAAAAAGATTTATTTTACCGAATTCATTGCTCCTCTTTCTCTGCATGCCTAGACCTCTACGTACTTCGTTTTGCTTTCAGCTTCGTTTTTATCTTTATCTTGGTTAAAGACTCGCTTCAAGCTGACAGGTTTGACTTTCTTAGCCGGTTTAGTTAATTTGATGTTTCTTTTTCGGGCTTTATCTTTATTTACTTTTCTCTCGTGCATTTTATATTTTGAAAGTTTTTCCTTTTATTTTTACAAATACGGACGTCAAACACTTGCATGAAAAGTTCAACCTTTTCATTTTACCAAAAAGAAAGGGAAATAATTAAAGAGCTTTCCAAGCTGCCAAGTAGTATATATGGTCCCCCTACTGGCATCTCGCAACTTGTGTTCTATGGATTTTCCAGATTGGGGTACCTCTAGTGATTATGACGATAACGGACGAAGACACCTAGCCACAGGCATTCATCAGTTGATGCCGCTATCATCGATGTTTGATGTGACCATGTATTACCTTGATCTATGATTAAAGAAACAACAGATCTCAATTTTGTACCTAATAAATCAGCTGATTCTCAATTTAATCCTAAAAGAAAAAAATTTCAACAGTTAAATCCAGTTGTTTTAAACGATCTCAATCAAATCCATTTATCAATAAATTTTAATGCATCAGGACAACATTATTTTGAAGAAAAATTAATGGAAAATTCTGATCATAGACACAGATAGAAAATGGAATACCCAATTTAGAAATATATAATGATCAGGAACCCAATTACATAAACCTTCCTCTCTCTCTCTCTCTCTCTCTCTGTTTTTTTTGGGATAGAATTGAAAATGTATTTATTCAGGTGCAACTATAACTTTAAGAACTTACAATCCACATGGTCCATGGAATGTTTATTTTAGTTCTAAAAATTTAAGGGATCAAAACCTCAAAAATCATCCGGCTATTGGATCATTGTCAATTTTATCTCCTTTTTTTTTTTTTTTTACTTCTCCAATAGAGCCTTTTATTAGAATTCCAAGATAAAAAAAAAACATAAAGTTTAAAACAAAACGACTTCGTATTTACAATAAAAAAAAAGTTTGATTTGAGTAGAATTCTTAATCACATATGGATGCAAAAGGTTTAATTAATTCTTTTTTGAAACTTAAGAACAAAAAATGATTACAAATAAGTGTTCGAAAATGAAACTGAGACTATGTATGCACCTGGGAGAGCATATTTGAGTTTTGGTAAAAATTCAACAAGTTGCGTGCATCTTTGAAAAAGTTCGGACCATGAGCCACGTGAGAAATCGTAGGAAGAATGCCCATGATCTTAATACGGTCCACACCAGGAGAGAATATCGAAGAGAGCCATGATGATGATGGGGAATTGTCGGCTGGTTGCATGATGATGGATTTATTAATTAAAAAGTAATTTAATATGCATGGAAACAGGAATGGAGAACACGCGGGACAGCCAGCACACTCACACACACGTGCGTGGGAGAGGAGTACTTCCCGAACGTCAATCATCAACCGACAAACTTCTCCTCATTCTTCAAACCATGGTTCTAAGTCCCAAGCTCCGCTTGATTTATTGTCATGTTTATGTATCTAATGACATTATCATCGTAATTTCCCCCTCGCTGGCCATGGGTCAGCCTCAAGGTTTTTTTTTTAAATTAAAAAAAAAACCAAAACATGAAGAGGAAGAAGTAGGTAGCTAGCTAGCTAGCTAGCTTTGATGTTGTCTAACAGTCTATTGCCGCTCAAGATCAATAAATGGCTTCAAACACATACACATATCCTGGTCTGTGTAATTGATTGATTTCGATGTTGTATGTGCGTGCAGACTAGCTTCTCTAATTGCTTGGTGCACAAAATGCACCATGAACCACCATTGAGGTTTCCTTTTTATTGGTGTTTTGGATGATGTAACTATCGGATGATATATTTAATTGGAGCAGTTTACTTGCGTAAGTGTACCAAGGTCGAGAAATTCGTGCGAAAATATATTCTCGGCATTTAGCCAAAATTTTAGAATATAATCTAATGATGTCTTGTCAAATTATGTGACATTGACTTGTAGCGAAACTGAGCATCAAATATTTAATTGCACTAATACAAATATCTTGATAATTTCACAAGATATGTGGAGTAAAAAATAAAATAAAATAAAATTTTAGATTTACAATTAATTTTTTATGTCTTAGTAATACGATTTTTTTTTTTATCATTCTAACTATCAATTATTAAATATTTTTTTATCTAATCTCAAAAATGGTTTTAAAAATTTTCTATAATGTTTTCTCTCTCTCTCTCTCTCTCTCTCTCTCTCTCTCTCTCTCTCTCTCTCTCTCTCAAAGTTCAGTATGTGTAATATTTTTGTTCTGATTAATTAGTACACAAAGATTTGATTTGGAATTTTCCTATATAATTTATTTCATGTGTGAGAAGCTAATTAGGAGCGTGTACTGAAAGCACCTTGATTGGAGCGTTTGTGGACCAAGGGAACTTTAGAGCATGGAACCAGGAAAGGATAGAGAGTATCCAATGATTGTAGGGAAAGTGCGTGTCTGGTTGTGGAGAGACAAAATGACACGCACGAGTCTATACAGAGGACCACTTGGCCACACATCACATGCTATTGCACGTGAACTAGTGTAGGGTCCCCACGTGACTCCACTTCACTCTGTCCTTCAAAAATTTTCCACACTCTCTGGCTCACTCGGCTCAAGCCAAAGCTTACAGTATACTCCAGGTTTTATTTTATTCTTTTTGAGGTCTCCTAAAATTTATTTTACCATAGACACGTGGACAAAGAAATCGAGGTTTAGGTCTCCTACTGTTTCTCACAACCTTATAGCGTGCTTAGAAAAAAAAATCAGTTCGATTCTCAATAATTGTTATAAAATCATTTTATTGTCCTCCTCGTATTTTGTGACGTTACACATGTCAACGAAATTTTCAGGATTTAACATAAAATCTCTTTCTTTTGTTAAAAAAAAAATTACAAAAATCTTCTTTATATCTAAAATTTTGCTAATATTTTTTAAATGCAGTGAGGAAATTTTAAAATTTTATGAAGATTTTAAAGATAAGAATAAGATTGTATAATATCCCTAAATTTTTGAATAGTCTATTTCAATATTAAGATATCCCAATGATGTTATTGTAAGTCGTACTAGAGATAAATCAAATATTTTCACTTATGATTTATTTGTCTATTCAATATTCTTAATTTGAAACTGATCCAATAGCAAATTGCTAAAACTCTAAGATAGCAAGGTCTGAGTCTCATCTGTTTTCGTTTTTATTTGCATCAAACCCTTATTAATTTAGACGCTCACTTTAAGATTGGATGACTATCTTTTTGTAGACTATAACTCCAAAAGCAACGTATTTGATCAAAAGTCTTAATTCATGTTCATGAAAAAATTTATAATATTCAAAAAGTAATTAGTATCGATTACCGTATAAAGAGATAAATATAAAAATAAAAGAGAAAATTAAAAAAAAATTGAGCTAATGTGAAAATTTTCTTATCACTTTTGATGGGTCTAGATGTAATTCTCTATTTTTATTATATATATATAATATATATATCCTTAAAAGTGAATCAATAAAACAACTACTATACATATACGGTAGTTATTCTTTGAGTATTATAAGATTTCTACATATTCATTATTGAAAAACAAGAGGAAAACCTGATTTAATATATATATATTCTATATACTTGTTCTTAATTGGGTCATAAACATATAGTATTATCAATTTGATCCTCGATGTTTTAGACAATTCTCAATTAGGTGCTCTTATTAATTTCCATAAACCTTTTTAGTTAGATTTTCTTCAAACGATACCATATGTTTACATAAAAAATGCAAATTTAGATATAAAAAAATATTAACTTAGATTAACAAAAATGCCTGGTTGAGAAATGTGAGAAATTTCAGAGACTAATGGATACAATTTACAAGTTTGGACAGAATCTAGAATAAATATATAAATTAAGGACTAAATTATAGTTTTTCTAAGAAACAAAGTTTCCGAATGTAGGGTGGTCAGCCCTCTGAAAAGTAAAAATTTAAAAATGTTTCTCAACTTAAGCACTTAAAGAGTTGAAAGAATTTCAACACTCACAAACATAGCAAACTCTTTTTAAAAAAAGTAAAAAGGCAAAAAGAAGAAGCCAATTTCCAAATCTTCACTTCTTGAAATATATATATTACCAATGAGTTTTTCATGTAAATATATGCGTTGTGAATAACTGCTCAAAATTTGGGACAAAAACAAAAAACTACTCAAAATCAATGTACATCGGCTGTCTTTTCCGTTCGATTGGAGATTAGACAACATCGTCTTTTGAACGGCAGATCAAAACAGACCCCTAAGAAAACCGGTTTGATCGTAATCAATATGGGACCACTCAAAACTAGCTGTAGCAATAATTGTGTACGGGATTTGGAAGATCACCACATGATTCCCATCAGAGTACAAGATCTGTGCAAGAATATATGCGTGTGTGAGCAGGGAGAAACATATTAATTGATTGAGGTGCATCTATGCCTCGTAGCCAGTGTATAGAATACACGTGTGATCCAAACATAATGATTATAATTGTTCCTAATTACTCTGTGTGTGCATAATTAATTTGGAAAGTGTGACCCAAATATCACCTCTCACATGGACTGTATATCGGATATCTTTCATTGGAAATACGGAGTTTATAAAAATAGGAAGTTGCTCATCGAATTTCTCTGGCCTGATCTTTTTAATTCGTTCTTCAATCACTCATGAATAGTTGAAATATATACTGGTTTTTTTTTTACAGCTCAAAATTAATGAATTTTCAATGAGAACATCAATTTTAATGATTAATATACTCATTAAATAATCAATAATATTTATTTTATATAAAAGAGAATTGAAAAAAAATTGAGTTTAGCTTAATATTTTTTGTGAATGTAAATATTTCTTTCGTTAGTTAAGTGTGTCTTTTTTTTAATTATTAAAAATAGATTTATAAAATAAATATTATTATTTATTTCATAAGTAATATAAAATTATAGATTTAAATTTTATGAAATATAATTTGTAGTGAATATATTAGTTCATGTGTCAAATTGTGATTAAAAAGAAAAATTTATAATTCCAAAAAAAAAGGGAGAAAAATTGGCCAATAGGATGACATGAACAGGAAAAACTTTCAAATAATAAATCACAGTAAATTTGGCCTTTAACTAATCAATTAATTATGGAGAACAAATCGAATACTGAAAAAGGGAATTCAATTCCACATCGAAAATTGATGCTATAATCAATGGGATTTGCATGTTCCCTCAGTCGGTAACTTGTCGCACAGTTACCCAAAGAAAACTCCAATACAGCAATGTCGTAACTATCTCTTCGACAAGAACATACATTAATTTCATTGATTAGCTTTTAGCCTAACTATCTTGCCTTGAACCAAATAATCAATATCTCCCTGAGCCCCGTGCCACCCAAACCTCCACGCGCTTTCATTTTTTCGTTTTAATCAGATGGACTTACGCATTAAAAGAAATTAAATATCCTTCCAGAACGATGTTAAAAACGTTTTCTGTAGTTCCGAAGAACTTATGTTAAAAGAAAGAAACAATCCTCTTTGACCCTGCCACTGCCACGAAGGGTTACACGCGCCCACATTGGCAATGGAAAGCCGGAGGTCCCACAACAAAATTCACCAATTTCAACATGATGTGATTGCTGGGTTGCCGGTCCTCATCCTCATGATTAGCATCATCAATCATCATGATCATGATCATAAGCGCGTGAACGATACTGTAGATTATTATACTACTTCTGTCCATAGAAACCTCCAGTCAATGGTCAATGATAGAAAAAGCCGCTTTTTAAGCGAACTGAATAAAAAGGCTTAACTGTGGTTAAAAAAGGCTTCTACTAGTTTATCTGATGCTTTAATGGCGTATTTGGTCCATAATTTCAATTCTATATTTTATTTGGGTCGTTCTGATTTTCCTTTCAATGTCATCCTAAACTCTTTATTTGCATAAGTATCTGTTCCGTTTATCGACTGATATGAAAAACCATCAGTAATATTAATTGAAGTAAAATTTTTATTAATACATAATAAATATAGATAAATGAAATAAAAAATTCACTTTACTAACATGTATAAATGGATTAATATTTGACACTTTATTTTAGAAAAGTTATGCTGAATAGTAATGGGTGTAGCTACATGAGAATAACATCTATTATATGGATAAAAACTTGTTTTTTCTTAGTGTGAGAAAATTAAAGCATAATATAATATAGTAATGAAAGGACTATATTTGTATAAAATAGAGAATAAAGTGATTAATTTAAAACAATAAATAGCTAAAAGACAAAAGAAAAACAGAAGTGAAAGTAAAGGGACCAATTCAGCATTAAAGCAAACCGTAAAGAAACTCAGTTACAATTACAAAAAGTCAAAGGAAGCAACCAAGGTTTAAACGGAAGAAGTTAACCATGGTAAAAAAAATCCTTACCTAGAGTAGTAGTGACCATCGAAGCCTGTATAGCAGGAGTTAGCCATACACAGAATACTAGCTTTGCTGGTAGTATATATGATGATGATTTGAGCCAATAGCGGATGACTGACACAAGTCATGATTGAATCTATACCCACCTGTCATTTTCTCTCTCTGTATCTTTATATTTATATGTATGGACTAGTCCCATCCTTCTACTGTACTGAAAAAAGCAAAAGGCTGTGACACCTCTGGCTCCAAAAACCCAACAATTTTCTACCCTTCTTTTCCCATTCTGCTTTCTCACAATCCGGAATAAAAACCCAGTTATCCCAGTTAAAAGGAGGCAACAAGGAGTGTTTATTTTGTTGGAAAGACTGGAACTTTGGCTGTTGTTTGAGAGAGAGTGAAGATGGGTGAAAAAAATGATGGTTTGGGCTTGAGTTTGAGCTTGGGATATGCTTCACAACAAAATCATCAACAGCAGCCATCTATGAAGCTAAATCTCATGCCTTTGCCTTTGCAAAACAATCATAAAAGAACTCCCTGGACTGACCTCTTTCAATCATCTGGTACTTCTTTCGTTTATTCTCCTTATTTTTGGATTTTTATTGGGCTCTAAAAGAACAAGCTTTTAAAACTGTCTTTGATCCAGATCTGTGTTTTGGATTAATTACAGGATTCCCATTGTTGTTTTTGTTATTACAGATAGAACATGCGATACGAGGTTGTTTCAACGAGGAATCGACATGAATAGGTTACCAGCTGCAGTGGCAGATTGTGATGATGAAACTGGGGTTTCTTCACCAAACAGTACGCTATCAAGCTTAAGTGGTAAAAGAAGCGAAAGAGAACAGATTGGAGAAGAAACAGAAGCAGAGAGGGCCTCTTGCTCTCGCGACAGTGATGATGAAGATGGTGCTGGTGGTGATGCTTCTAGGAAGAAGCTGAGACTCTCAAAGGAACAGTCTTTACTGCTTGAAGAGACTTTCAAGGAACATAGTACTCTTAATCCTGTGAGTGGTGGCATTTTGGTTCATTTTTTTCCAAACATTATATTAGGGTGGTTTTTAAAATTTGGTGAATCATGTTTGTAGAAGGAAAAGCTAGCTTTGGCAAAGCAGTTGAATCTCAGGCCTAGACAAGTGGAGGTGTGGTTTCAGAACAGAAGGGCAAGGTGAGATATTTCCCCACTTTGTCAGGGCTATTGTTGGTATTTCACGGGTACTATGATCTTCAAATGAGTTGATGAGGATAGAATTGTCTTCTTGGGTGATTTAATTCTACAGGTTGAAACTTACATTTATTGTCTGTTCACTTTTAATGAGACGTTTGAAAATTTTGGAGTTTCATGAGAGCATCTATTTACTTCATGGTAAATAAAATAACTGCCCTATTTTTAAGCGGAAGACCATTCAGTGAGTGTTTAAGAACGGAAATATTGTCGTCTCCATTGCTGAAGTAAACTAGAATTTAATGCACCGAGGACTGTTAACTAATTATAATTGCATCCAGTGCTTTCAACAACAGTTGTTCTTTTTTGATAATGCATTGCCCTATTCATGGGTCAACTACATTTTGACCAGGCAGAAGAAAAAGATTTTATTAGCGCCAAAGTTTAGTATCCATGCTTCCGTGGAAGTCATATTCAATATGGAAAATTAGGGTGTTTTGTTGGCAAGTAAATGGATGTGTGTTAGTTATTACATTTTGGTGATTTCAGAATTGTTGCGATTTAAAGAGCCTTTAAACTGTTTATACGCTGAGGAAAATGACTTGAAAAGTGAACATTTTCTCATCGGATTGACGCAGGACTAAGTTGAAGCAAACTGAAGTCGACTGCGAATACCTAAAGAGGTGCTGTGAAAATCTAACTGAGGAGAACAGGAGGTTACAGAAGGAGGTGCAAGAGCTTAGAGCATTGAAACTTTCCCCACAACTCTACATGCACATGAACCCTCCCACCACTCTCACCATGTGCCCCTCATGCGAGCGCGTTGCTGTCTCATCGGCATCATCATCATCATCTTCTGCCGCTGCCATGTCCTCTGCTCTTGCTCTTGCTCCAATAGCCTCAACCCGCCAACCACAACGACAGGTGCCCATTAACCCTTGGGCAGCAATGCCTATCCACCATCGAAATTTTGATACTCCTGCTTCTAGGTCATGATTTTTAGCTTGAAGTAGGGCTATTATGGGAAAGATAAAATGGATGGAAGGATTTAGGATAAGATATCCAGGCATCTAGATAAATTTGAGAGAATGTGGAGTAGGGAGGAATATGAGAGAAGACACAATCAGTGGTGGTGGTTAGGATGCGATTTTGCTGACAAGTCCAGGTTGCAAAGAGTGGACTACTTGCATAATTTAGGTTTTAGATGATAAGTGGTAGGATGACTGGAAGGTGCGACAAGGAATCCGAATACATTATCTTCCTGCTTATCATTGTAGGATTTGATGGAGACAAAGTGGCTTTACTGTGTAAAGAGAATAGTATTTTAGTGATGATTCTATTGAAGGAATGAACGGTCATCCTATTAATTAAAAATGCTTCTCTTCATCCTTAGATTGTTGGTGGCTTTTGTATATGAATGGTTGTCAATTAGCGTTGATAAAAGATTCCAGCTTTTTTTTTTTTTTTTTTTTACTAATTTCTTATGATTCAAAGCAATGTCTCCATGCTCGAATAACATTCTACCTAGTCCAAGTCTTGGAGCTGTTCTCATATTGTTAATCTAAAATCTCTCACTTAAAGCTCATAGGAGAAGAATTTCAAGTCGGCCCATAATCTCCTTCATCCACTTTAGTGTAATACTCTTCATTATCCCTAGCTAGCTTCCATTTTTATCCTTCATTATTTGATCTATAATTTTTTTCAGTGTTGTACTCCTTCCTTGTCCTGAATACTATAGCGTATGGTAGCCGAATCCTCATAAGTTGTTCGATTCTGTTCCGCCTAATAAATGAAGGTCGGATTCAGCAAATCCGGTGCCAGTGGGTCACCACAATAACTGACATCGTGTTATGCTGGAGGGATTTCGATTGGGATCCTTTTCTGTTGATAAGAAAACGTGACTTTAGGGCTGTTTTTGTTTCTGAGTAGAATAAGTTTCAGTAACTTATTTTTTTATATATATTTTTTTTTACATTTAGAAAAAAAATTAATGAAATTTGATAGGTTATTTTTTAAAAAGTATCTTTCGAGTTAAAAAAAGAAAAATATTTTTTCTTTCTTTCACAAGTTGTCTCGTTTTTACGAGTAATCACCTCTCTCTCGATATATTTTAACAATTTTTTTCTATCTTTTTTTGTTAAAATATATTAAATTAGTTTTAATCATTTCTTATCAATTATTATTAATTATTTAATTATTTTTCTCTATTTTTACTAACATTTAATTCTGAGATTTATAAATACATTAAATATTCTTAAAAACAATTTTTATATCTTAAAATTATTTTTATAATAAATATTTCAATAATTTCTTTTTTTTTTTTTTTACCATTATCCCAAACACCATATAAGCTATACTTAAATCATTGAAAATAATTATTGCAAGTCCGCAATCATTTGTAAAAAAATTGAAACTAATTAATTAATAAATAATTTATTTTTTCAACACAATTAATTTGTAACTAAATCAATAATTTGAAACTAATTTTAATCAATTGTAAAATTTTGTAAGTAATTACAGTCAATAATTAGTTACAAATCATTACAACATTAATCTTTTAAAACCAAATGAATAATTATTTACAAATGATAACTAATAATTTATAAAATTATTTTTTATATTAAATTATCAGTTCAATTTATAAAAAAAATATTATTATTAATTGAGTTATCAAAATAACAATGCTATGATTGCTTATAAATTTTTTTACTAAATATGAATATTGATTTGATTTTATCCCAAGTAGTTTTGATGAGTTGGTTTGATGGTTAAAAATGTATATTTTATTTTTTGAATTTAAATCTTAAAGTCGGTATTTATAAAAATTTATTAATTTTTTTAAAATGCATCTTATATTGTGAGATTGTGAATATATATTGTTGAAGTTCTATTGATTTAACAATCACAACATGTTTTTGTATTTCGGTTTTACGTATCAAACAAAAGCTGGAATATATTTTTCAGCAACTTTTTCATGTAATTGTCAAATGTAAGGAAATATTTTTTTTGGAAAATAACTTTATGAAAAATAGGTTCTCTAGAATTGTTTTTTTTATTGAAAGTTGTTTTGCACCAAACAAATAGAGCCTAGATTATACGAGAGAAATTAAATATTAAGAATTTAATTCAATTTAATTTTTGTTGCATATTAAATTATAATGATTTAATTTAGATTTAATGAATATAACGATCATGCTTTTTTAAAGAAAATGAGAAGATGGCCGTCTATGTTTGAGGATAGAATATAGATAAATATATATATGATGAGGAACTAGGCTTCCCTTTTTTTTTCTTTTTTTTTTTTTTGAGTGCGAAACGGATAAATTCGAATGAACATATATTTTTTCTATCCCAGAAAAAGTGGGGTTTTTTTTATATAATTTAAAAACTTTTAAATTTTTGTATCATATTAGTATTTCGTGTTCACATTTTTCTAAAACACCTTTCTCTTTTTTAATTGTTAGTTATTAAATTTAATCATGCATTATATGAAACCAATATTAATTTAAGGAAAAAATCTATCTAAAATTGATGTGGCAAATCAAAAGAAAATTGTGAAATTAATTGACTATCAAGTTTTAAAAAATTATAAAAAATAACAACATACTAATGGAAATATTTTACTTCCATAATTTCTATAAAGTCCTTACAAGATTTTAGGTCAAAAATTAAGTCACCAAATTAAAATTTATATCCTTCCCAAATGGGTCTAAAATTTTTAGAAAAATCTAGAGACCGCTAAGCCTGTTTAAATTTCTCACAAAAATTTAAACCAGAAAATTAGTCAAAATGAAGGCGGCAGGTTAAAATTTCTATCCATGAATTTTTTAGAAGAATCAATATTTTTTTCATGTAATAATTTTGAAAAAAATATGTTTAAGTTATTTTTGCAAATAAGGATAAAGTATAAAAAATATTGATTTTTTTGTTAGCAAAGAACTGAAAATAGAAGAAAATTTTGATTTTTTTTAATCAATTAGAGATATTTTAAAATAATACATTACTTTAAATTTTAACCAAATAATTATTATATATTAAAAAAAAGGGTAAAGACAATCTCTTTACAATAGAAGAAGTAACCAATTAAGAGAATGTAACTGTCAGTTGAAGCCCCATCCATAGGCCTAACCATTAACCCTTAAAGAAGAGAAAATAGAGTTTATTATCTCACATTGTGGGATGTAAGATTTGAAACACGATCTCCCAAGTTGTTATCTTATTTTCTCAGACTAATGAACCACCCTCGCACCCATATGGGTTGAGACCCTCGTAGGAAGACAAAAGCTTTAGCTGGCCCGTAAGCAGTTCAGGCCACGAACAAAAAAGAACGCATTCATAGAAAAAGCTTCCCTCCAAGAACCTAACATCTTCCCACGACAAAAATTTAATAAAAGAATGAAAAGGCTAACTAAAAATCTAAAATATTCTGGTTCAAATGCAAGGCTGTGACGTGCGAAAATCTGAATTTAATTAAATCGCCTTGACCAAGCGAACTCTAAAAGCTGATCGAATAAAGTCGCCTCTGATTTCATGAGTGATTGTGTCAGGGTCCTTGGACACCACGCCATGGCATTTATTGATACATCTAACGACGCAGAGAAGACATGCAAATGTTCATATATATAATGGTTGTTTTTAAATTATTCTCATCAATCAATTTAGGTTACGTACACTATTTTCTTTTAGTTAAATCAACGTCTACTTTCAGTTAATTGCTAAACTGTTAAAAACTAATCCAAATCGGATACCACTAGAGATAATTGGCGAGAAGACAAGCAAATCTACAAGGCAAAAAAATGATAGGCCTGTTATCTGTACGTGTAATCTAACTTTAGATCACCTTTTACATTGATTCAGAGATTAAGGTTCAAGAATCTGTGCGATAGGTAGAGCTTTTTGTGATTCAAGAAACAAAAGAACCTCCTCAAATACATATGAAACAAGAAAATTTATGTCTGTCTCACCAGCTCTGATGCAAGGCAGAGCTTTTTGTTAAAAAACCCTGACAGTTTATGGGCATCATCATCCCTCTCAGTTATACTAAATATTAGTACAACTCTTGAAGAAGTTTTCACATCAATCTACACCTGATGCAGTCAAACGATATTCAGCCAAAGCCAGCTTTCTATGTGGACCGATCTCCGTAGGGATTCAGAGCGGCAATGCAGTTGCAAGTGATTTTCCAAAGTACACTTTGACATGAAAACAACATCAAATTGATGATTTCCAATGGTTTTGACATCTACATCACTTTAAAAATTTTGAAAAAGCACCCTTACTAAATTCAAGCACTACATACAAGAAATTCCATTATTGCAGGCCTATCAAATGAGAATCAATGCGAGTTCATGCAGTATACACAACAGGAAATCCTTCTCCATCAAGGATTTCGATTAAATAACCATTACATGATATCCAATTTCAATTACTTTTTAAATTGATTTAGAGAAGAAGGTCCACGATTCTTGTCTGATAGGTCGGTAGCTGGGCAGAAAATTTAAGACTTAACAAAACTACGACCTGCACAATTGCTGCACATTATCTTCATTCAAAATTATATATTGCACATGAATAAATTTGGATTTTGGCATGCATGATGCAGTCAAACGGTATTCACAGTGTCTGCAAGGGAACGCAATATGCAACCCAAGCCAGCTTTCTCAGTCAACTTTTCATGTATCCGCAGGCATTGGTCACATGTGGGCCGATCTCCAGTTGACAATCCCCTATACAAGTACCTGTAGATTATGATATCAATGAATTAATGTTAATTGCAAAACATTTCACAAATATGATGAGAACGACGAATGATTGGACTACACAAATGCTGGATAGAGATCCATCCATTGTTTTTCTTTTGGGTGTTTGGTTGAGAGGAGATTTTTTTATTTTTTTATTTTTTTATTTTTTATTTTTTATTTTTTTTAACTCACACACTTAAGGCTCCTAGCAGAACTAATTTGCTAGGATTTGAATTTGAGGCCTGTAGTTGCAAGAGATTACTCCCACTAGGCTACAAGCTCTTTGGTTGAGAGGAGCTGCTCTTAGTGTTTAATGGAGGAAAAGATGACATCCTTGAATATGTCCAGACATAGTAGAATATAGAAGGCAAAAATAACAAAAACATCAAAGGGTCTAATCTAACTCCTCACTAATTCAAATCGGTAAGGATTTGATAATCACACAGCCATTTATGTCCATATTATTGAATGTGTGAGTTATTGGTATCAAAGCTTAGCCAAGAAGGAGAAGATTCAAACACCACAGCTTCATTTAACTTTTGAAGTTCATGTTCAGAGCTTTGACTCTATCATATATAAGTAGGGATTCAACATGTACCAGGATGAAACAAATTCTTCCATTTTAGACACCAAAGGCAACACAAACATGGTTCAGTAAGTCAAACAGAAAGCCAATTATGGAACGTATAAAAATGCCCTTGCACAAGAAAAATGGTATGCTCACATTAACTGAATTATATAACAATAAGTCAAAATTTGAATTTATGCCGTCTTCATGTATAAATAACATAGATAAGCACTAAAACTCTGACCGTATTGATTGAAGGCTAAATCAGATTCAATCAATTTCTCCTGAAGAAATTAGCCAAATGATAAAAGATACAATGGGGAGGTCTTACAAGGAGACTTTGGAAGGAACATGATGAAGCAGGATATCATTTTGCAAGTGGCATCGATCTTATCATCAAGGTAATTAAGGTTTAAATAACTTTAAGAGAGTTCTGGGCCATATTTTAAAATTCAACAAGTTTAAAACTGGTAAACAGATCTTGAGGAACTGTTTACTAGCCACCAGCATAAGATGCAGGAGAAAAATATTTTCTCCGACCAATAAAGTCTAGCCAAGGGCTAGGTTAAGATGAAAATCCGTTGGCAATAATATTGATCGACGGAAAGAGTGATGTTTGTAAAAAGATTTTTGTTTTCATGACTGACCACTCCAACAGAAATATCTTTAACTCTCAGCTGGTTTCATTCTTGTTGCAGAACAATGGGAAATTGTTACAAATCCCAAATTATTTCAAGCTTAGAACTGCAAATGCCAAACTAGAAGCTTGAAATTGAGCGAATAACAGCGCTCAAATAATAAATTACACCATAAAAATTATCCGAAGAGGAAGTAATAAAATATCGTAAACAGGCAGTAGAAATGACAAAGTTTAACAGAAGAATAGTTTCCAGGAAAGTGGCAGTGAAGCGAAGCGACGAACTTTTTCATTTGAAGAATCCTTCCGTGGATGACAAAAGCCAGAAAATTCCAAAACAAGTCCCACTTGATCTCTCATTCACAAGCAGAGACCCTAAATATAAGGTATCATCACTGAATCACAAAACGGCCCAACAGCATCTCACATTCTTAACAGGTTGCAAATTTTGGTAGCTTAACATTTTATCTGAACGCATAATCAGATTAAAAACGAAAAAAAAAAAAAACTACAGTTAAGGGACCAAGTCCTCTGATTCATCACCGAAACAAACTTTAAAACAAATGCCATCGACATTGAGCGTCGATTTAGTCCGCATTCGACATCAATATCATACATAAGTTAAATTATGATCAATATTGAGGATACCCAAAAGATCAACTCGACCTAAACTACATTTCCTAACTCTAAATGTAAATTCAGCTGATGGGAAAATTAAAAAAGGAAAAAAGAACACTTTAATATAACTAGAAAATGAAAAAAAGAAAGAGAGAGAGAAGTACTGACTTCATGAGAATATCATAGTACTCGGGATCCAAAGCTGAGAACAATGCATCCACATCTTTTATTGCCATTAGCGCTCTATGCACCACTATCCAATTCGCTGACTAGGCAAAGAAAACAAATCAAAACTTTCCTTAAGAGAAAGAGCATTTTCAAAGACGAAAAAAGAAAAACCTTGCATCTCTCATCTCGAGTCTTGGGAGGCGAGCCTTCCAGAGCCGTTTTGAGAGCCTCAACGGGTCTGCCCCTGAAAGAAAGAAACAGACAGAGACTCCGAAAGTTAGTTGCAAAATGAAGGCAGAGAGAAATCGAGAGCTTGATAATTACGGACTGTTTAAGTAAGCTTTCGATCTTGCGAGATTTGTGTTCGATTCTTGTGATTATAGCCTCTGCCTCTGCATTCTCTGCTTCCACTATTTCCTCTCTTCCTGCCATTCTCTCCCTGCAATGGAACGATGGGAGGCTACGGCGGTTTGCGGTTGAGACTTTGAGAGTTGTTCTCTTGTTTTCTATTCAGGTGGTGATGGTTTAGGATCGTTCTTTATTGGACTAAGGCCCAGGGCTGGTTCAAATTCAACTCAGGCTAAGGCTCGCTAGTTCTTTTCTTTTCATTGGGCCTAGATTTCCAAACCTTGTATTTTATTTAAAAAAAAAAACTAAAAGAAAGTAATTCTTGTTTTCGTTTTTAAAATTTTAAAACAACTTTTATAAAATAGAAACTGGACAATATTGATAGACGAACTGAAAAATGGAAAATCAAATAAAGATTTGTTAATGAGTTAGCGTGGGTAGCGAGAGTTTTGAAAATAATTTTCCAAAAAAAATAAAAAAATAAAATCAAACGGAAAATAGATAAGACAAGACAGTTTCAAGGATGATGGAGTTTGGTGTGGACATGTGACACTCTACCCACCAAATACGTTAGGAATATGTTGTTGTATTATTATTATTATTTCTCTTTTTGATTGGGCTGAATCCTCCCTACGACCATACCTACCTGTTATAGCGTTGGTAGCTAGTTTTGCCCGTTTCTTTTTCTTTTTGGAGAAATTCTTTGCCTTTAATTTACTTATGCTAATTTGGCTATTAAAAGGCATGCTACTGTGTAGTGGTTAATACATGCATGCCCTTTCTATTTTCTTTTTCTAAAAATAAAATCAGGTTGTTAGCCTTCCACATGTAATACAGCTAATCCACCAAGATATGACATGCTAGTGGTGTGATTTGTCTTGAGCTGCAAATGGCAAATACATGAATATAATATTCAAAAAAATATATATATAAAATCAGTGAAATAGAGATTTCCAACTTCCAAAAAAAAAAACGGTGATTGGTGAAGACGAAAATTGGAAAAAGAGAGACAAATACAATCAATTCATGGACCCAGTTTCTGACTTTAATGCCCATTTTATTAGGTCCAAAGTTTCCAATTCAAATAAGTAAGCGAGACATTGCCTTGCCTTGCTTTGGCTGTCGTCTTAACCTAGCAAAAAAGCAAAGGGCAACCACGTCATTTAGTACAAACGGTCATGATTATGACACTTTTGAATTCACCTCCTCCTCCTCCTCCTCCTTTCCTCTCCTCACTCCAATTTTTTCCCCTTCCTTCCCCTCAAAGTCTTCCTTCCTTCACCTCCTCATTTCCCCATTTTCACACCCACCGAACAACAGAAAAAAACCTTGTTTCTTCATCAATGGCAGATCCAGTCTCCTATTCCAAGCCCAAGGTCCCACTCAAGGAGCTTCACAACACTAAGCCCATCACCAAAACCAAAAAGTCATCATCATCTTTCACTAGTCACATCCTCTGTAAGTCTCTCGTGTTTTTGCTCTTTCTTGTTCTTATTCCGCTATTTCCTTCACAGGCTCCTGACTTTGTCAGTCAGTCCACTATTTTCACAAAATTCTGGGACCTTGCTCACCTTCTTTTCATTGGCCTTGCTGTATGTTATGGCTTGTTTAGTCGTAGAAATGTTGAAGATTTTGATTTTGAACCACCACCCCAGTACTCTGACGATTCACAATCATCGTATATATCTAGAATTTTTCATGTTTCTCCAATTTTTGAAGATGGGTCTGAGAATTCATCTGGGTTTGATGACAAAAATGTGTACCAAAATTGGAATTCGCAGTACTATAGGGGTGACTCTATGGTTAATGGTACTGATGGTCATGAACTGAACAAAATTGGATCACAGTACTATAAGGGTGAGCCTATGGTTGATTTTGCTAATGGTAATGAAGAAAACAAGAGTGGATCTTTAGGTGCTGAAAATGGCTTTGAAAATTCATTTGAGAATGGTGATAGTGATCCGATTCAAGCTTGGAATTCTCAGTATTCGCAGTACTATAGGGGTGAGTCTATGGTTAATGGTGCTAATGGTCATGAACTGAACAAAATTGGATCACAGTACCATAAGGGTGAGTCTATGGTTGATTTTGCTAATGGTAATGAACAAAACAAGAGTGGATCTTTAGGTGCTGAAAATGGCTTTGAAAATTCATTTGAGAATGGTGATAGTGATCCGATTCAAGCTTGGAATTCTCAGTATTTCCAGGGTGAGTCAATGGTTGTAGTGTCTCAACCAAATCATTTACTTGATGAATATGGTAATCTAGGACAAGTAAATGGTTTCAGGCCACTAGGATTGCCAAATTCGAGGATTAAGAATCTGGATAGTTCTCAATTTAGTAATGGAAGTGAGTCTGGTAGAGGCTTGTCTGGCTTGGGCTTGTCTGATGGTTCTGGAAGGAGAGTGAAGGAGAATGATTTTGGTGATATGAGTCCTACGAATTTGGAGGCAAGATTTAATGAAAATGCAGCCTTACCGTCCCAAATTCGGTGGCATTCGAGATCTGAGAGGAAGGAAATTAGAGAGAAAGTTGGTTCTTTTACTGAAGGTTCTTCACATTTTAGGCCTCTCTCAGTTGATGAAACACAGTTTGAGTCTCTCCAATCACAATCTTTTAGGTCCACGACATCTTTGTCATCACAAGGGAGTTCAGCGTCGTATTCACCAACCACTCTCTCGCCCTCACACTCTGTTTCTTCTGAATTGCCAAACTCTGAAACTGAAGAATTAGGGGAAAACAAGAGTTATCGTGCTTCTTATCCTCCTACTTCTCAATCACCGGCAACCAGGAAGGCTGATGCTCCATTGAATGCATTTCATTTGAGGAGATATAGTAGCGGCTCTTTGTTCCAAAAGGATTCACGGAAAAGCTTAAAGAATGGGTTGAAGGATTTGAAAGGGAAAAGAAATGAAGACGCGGTGAGTAGTAGAGAAGCGGGGCAGGGTTCTTTGGGATCGGATCAGAAACCTGCAACACCTGTTAAAACTTCGTCACTAAAGGGAAAATCTGTTAGGACTATTAGAGCCAGTCGATATTCTGCAGAGACAATGAAAGCTGGAGAGATGAGTAGAAACCACGTTGATGACAAGGCAGGAAATATATGTGATGAAGCTCAGACAGGAAACATTGGAAAGAATGAAATGAAAAGAGGACCTGATAATATGTTAATTGGCACTGATAAACAGAAGTCTGATACTCAACATTATGTGCCAAAGCCAACCCTTTCAAAGTATAAGAAGAAAGAAAATGAAGTGTATATAGAGAGTGTTACAGTGGATTCCACAGAAGACTCAGAGAACAAGATTGATAAGTCTCCAGTGAGTTCAGATGAAGATTCCATGCCTGCCACTAACAATGATACAGGATATGACTCTAGCGAGGTTGATAAGAAAGCTGGTGAGTTCATAGCCAAGTTCAGGGAGCAGATTAGGCTTCAGAAAGTAGCATCTATTGAGAGATCAAAGGGAAAACGTATGTTAGGTAAAAGATAAGCCTATACTGCTCCTAGATTGCTAACAACTTGGAGAGGAAGTTGATTATTATTCATTTTTTTAGTTTTTCATCCTTCTATTATCTATTTTAGATTGTGTTCTTAATCTACCATTGTAGATACTATATACAGTTCTAGTGCAATTGTTGACTATGGGTATCCACCTACTTGGTAAATTGAAGATTTTATATCTTCATTTGATCGAGTTGTTAAACCTTCAAACTATTCTGCATTACTTTGACATCTTGCACTCTAATATTGCCTTAATAATTAATACAAGCGCACCAACATCAATCTTCCTTTGTATCTGGGTTTGCACCATTTTATTAGGCTTCTGAAAATAGGGAGCATGATCTTTCAGTGAGATCCTCAATAGATGGTATTGTGTCTGTTGCACTTGTTCCATTTTCGTGTCAGCTTTCCTGTTGAAAGGATGACTTTAAAAGGTTTATGATCATTTAGTGTTGTTCAAGCATGGAATGATGAGACTACTTTAGGTGTTCTGTGAAATTAAAAGCCCTTGAAGCTTATCCACATTTCTTTATCAGCATTTTAGTTTGAATCGGGAATGTATCACATTACGACTTGAGGCTTATCTCGGGAGATCTCTCAGGGAAAAAGCTTTTGCTATCCATAAATTCACTCAAGAAGAAATGTGATTCTTAACAACTGGCTGAATTCGTCCTATACCGAGCAGAGGAATGGAAGCTGTTGAGAAAGCCTACCGTTTTAGAAATATTTAAGAAACATGATTCTTTATTTCTATTAAATGACATGTTTGATAATTAACGCTAAGCTATAGTTTTCTGCATCTATTTGATATTACAATTTTGAGAAATCCTTCCTTGAGTTACTCATGAATTAAAAAAAAAAAACTGCTGCTATGTTTTTCGGTTATAGGCTTGCTTGAACTGTGTTTGGAGCCAGAGTGATTTGTCTTAAAACAACTCCTCATGCGGTAATAAATTAACCAAAGATTTCAGAACATGAGAGTAGGTGAGTCTGTTTAAACATTTATAGAAACATCCTTGAAAGTTTTCTCTGTTTGCTGCTAGCTAGTTTTCCATCAGAAGGAGATCAGCATTCAGGGAAAGTGATCATAATTCATAACCAGTGCAAAGCTTTCTAATTTTGATACTTGATACAATAAATATTCTCTCATACTTCGACGCTATATACATATATACATACTCTCTCTCACACACACATTTACGATGATCCTCTGGTCTGATAAGTTTTCCCCATTATAGTGCTGCCCTATATGAATATATAATAAAAGATCAGCATATAGTTACACTCATGCTTGCAGGTATTACATTACTCCTTTGCAATTCGATCGTGTTTGCAAGCCAACATTCATCTGTGCTTATTTCGTCCTGTATGAATAGCATGTCACACAATCAGGTCCGACTTTAGACATGGTTCTTACAAGTCACAATCTGACTCGTGGAAATAGTTCTGGGACAAAGAATCCTCTACACGAATATGCTTCACATGAGGCTATAAAATTCACAAGCAATATGCACCAACTGCCAAGAATTTGAAGAAGGGTATTCGAGGACTGCAACTAATTTAGTTATGTTAGTTGAGAAGATATGTATGCTTTACTTAACGTAGAATGCCTGCAACAAAAGTGATGAATAATTGTGTTTAATGATCATGTCTTGCACAAGGTTCCAATCTTCAACACAGACGGCTTTTAAGTTTTATACTTCACATGCCCTCGGATGGTAATCGGCCGAGTATCCGGCTTATTAAGCCAATTTCATATCTTAATCATTAAAAGTTAATATGCCTATTAACCTATTTATAACCCGTTTAATAGCAAAATTGCTCTGGTTCAATTGTAATTTGATAATTTTAGATTTTTAATATTAATTTGTGTACTTTAAACATCCAAATATCGATTTTTAGGTAAGTGTTATTCAAATTTTCTTTTCTTTGTTAGTTGTAACAATCAATCCATTTGACCATTAAGCAAAATGCTTAAACGACATTGCTTAAGCATTTTGTTGTTGTTATTATTATTGTTGTTGTTGTTATTATTATTTTGCTCTTATTTAAAAAAAAAGTTAAACATTGCTTAGATAAAGATAAATTTTTGATTTTGTAGATCACCTTTTCTTCTTCTTCTTCTTCTTTTTTTTACCAATGTTTTTTCTCTATTTTTCAAGAGAGGTTTTTTTCACCTGTTTGCCTATAAAAAAATAAAAATTCATTAAATTTATCACTAAACTCTTTTTTGTTCTCCCTTGAAAAAGTTTTCACTTTTTGAACATATCTTTAAAAAAACTAAAAATAAAATACAATTAGAAAAGTTAAAAACAATGGTTTTCTAACTCTAACGATTTTAAATGCATTTCATATATTTGAATCAATTGTGAGAATACAAAATCTTATAAAACTTGTGAAGATAAAAAAATTATTGAATAAATATAATTATATTTAAAATTTAATGATTTACAGATCACATGAATAAATTTATTAACATGAGAAAAAAGTTTCGAGTTAAAATTAATTATTTGACAATTTTAGTTGATCAAATTCAACTACTAGATATTTGTATTTTATTAATTATAGAAGTTGATTGTTTTAGTGGATAATGATATTACATAGAAAATGTTTTTTTTTTATTTGAAAAAAATTATATACAAATAACAATTGGATTGACTATAAAAAATCAGAAATTAATTTATGAAAATTTTAAATAGACGAAATTAAGTTATAGTTACATTGAAAAAAAATGAAAAAAAAGCTTTGTTTTGAACTTTCTTTTTTAAAAAAATTAATAACAAAATGTTTAAACAACTTCATTTTAAGTATTCACGCTTAACGATCAACTAGATCGACCGTTGCAAATAAAGAAAAAAAAGGATAATATTTGCACAAAAACAGATATTTTGAAATTTAAATTACATAAATTAACAATATAAGCTTGAAATTATCAAATTACAATAAAACAAAAACATTTTTGCTATTAAACCATTTATTGCCCCACTAACAATCACCTATCGATTTTTTTACCCGATCCATATCCAATTCATACATGTTATGTCGTGCTTTTATTCATACATGGTTCATACCGGTTTGTTTGCTACTTCTTTTTTTTTAAACTATTTTTTTTTAGAAAAAATCTTTTTTATAAAGAGAAGAGTATTTTTTTTCATTGAAGAATTTTTTTTAATTAAAAATCCTTTTAATAAAGAGAAGAGAGGATTGATTTAAATGTGCCTAGTAAATGAAATTTTAAAATGTAACATAGTATTCAAATACATAGATTGTCAATAAAATTATGATTATTTGATTGATGATCGTAAAAGAAGGGTTCTGAGTTTTAAGAGCGTCTTCGAATTTTTGCAGTTGTTAAGCCTACAATTATCCTTTTTTTTCAGCCTAAAATTATTTGCATTTGAAGAGTTTCAGTCACTGATTAAACAACGAACGAATATGGTATTGGTAAATGAAATAAGAGATCATAGATCACCTTGAATGTCCTGCATAAATCAACTTTAGCAACTGGATATGGCAATGAATAGATACCCGATCTATTAATTTAATTTTTTAATCTATTCATAAAAAAATACCATATTCATTATTTGTTAAAAAATTATTATATAAATTTTTATTCAGTGTATATCCGAATCATATTAGTTCACCTATCAATTTAGTACTCTTCTAATACCTGTTAAAATAATTTATCAAAAATATTCATTTTAGTTCTTATAATTTTTTAAAAAAGTTTTTTGGTCCTTTAAATTATTATTATTTTTGCATTTTGGTCTTTTATTTAAAATTTTTTTTGGTTCTCGGAGTTTTGAAAAAAATATTTTGGTTTTTAATTTTTAAAGTTTATGCAATGAGCTCCTTGTATATTAAAAAAAAAATATTGAGTATTAATAGGGTAAGGAATGGATACTCATACATTAAAATCATATTAGTGGATAAATATTTTTTTATCCCTACCATCTTCAAAACCTTTGAATATTTTTAATGTATATTTATTTTATTTTATTTTTAACTCATAAATCCAAAGCTTCTAGTGAAATTAATTTGTTAAGATTTGAATTCATAATTTTTTTTTATAATAAACCACTATTATCAGATTATAAGTTCTTCGATTAATAAGTATTTATGGAATTGGATAAAATAAATATTTTTTTTATATCCCATCTATTGCTATTCTATTAACAACCAACATATAGATTCCGGTCCTAGATGCGTGTCATGCATTGTCTATTTTTACTTCCTCTTGAAAAATTAAGTTGACTTTGACAAATTCATAAACATGACACTGACGCCGGCCAGTTTCATAAAAATTTCCATGTGGTTTGTTGATAGCAAAAGAAACAAGAATTCTTATTTTCTTTGCCTTATCACATTTCGTTTATATCATTCTTAATACGACAAAAGAAATCCATTGTATCTGAAGTATTTAATAAATACAACACAAATCAATCAAACAATATAATTCAAAATGAGTTTTAAATAATTTTATTTTTATAACATCATAAAGAGAATTCATACCATGCACCTTGTATTTGACCTCATAACAAACACATCAAAATCCCCACAAGTAAAATATAAGTTAGTCCCTCTAGTTTCAAGAAAAAATTAATTAATCTTTTTTTTAAAAAACTACTATTTAATCTTTTAATTAATATTGATCAAGTTTAATTTAATATTATTTTTATTTCATAAATTTTTTATTTTCTCATTAATCTTTTCATTTTTTTTATACTTTTCCTATTTATTATAACCAAAAAATTTTAAAAAAGAAAAAAAAATAAATTATAAGTAGATTTCAAAACATATAGATTAAATGATTAATTTTTAAAACTAAAAGGACCAATTAATTCATTTCAAGAAATGAGACAGACTAATTTATAATTTACTAAAATTTCTCGCTTCGTCTCTACCCTGGAATACGTCATGCTTTTGTCCTTCAATTTTCTCTGTCCCCATCTATCCTAGAAGAGAGAAGTAATTCTAGTCTACTTGTACTCCTATACTTCATACTTGCGCCAGATGTCTTCATGAGCCATAACATACTTGGCTGTATAACAACATTAGTGCATTTCAACTCTTCGAACCAGGCATTGAACTCTCCTTTCTTTTTTCTTTCTCCTTCTGCATTTACTTGTCACTTTATACTACATATAAAAGTAGGATTTTCTCAAACAATTAATCAACCTATTTATAGCATCATCTACGAAACATATCAGAGGCAAACTATGAAATCTCAAACTTTCACCATTCCATAACAGATAAGGATGCATGTATTGTCTTTAGAAATATGTACATTTTCAAAGAGACGAAAAACGTCTATGGCATATTTTATCCTGAGCTAAATGTTTAGCTTACTTCCTTCTTAAAAAATGGATCCTAGTCATGTCGCATCCAACTTTTGAAAAAATAAAGCAATTGAATCAGAAAATAAAATAAAACTAACATCATGAAACTGATAATCTAGCAGAGGAATGGTTGTCCAGAAAAAATAAAAAATTAAAGTTAATACCTTCACATGTTTTTATATAATAATCTAATTTTTCAATTTATTCTTAAAAAAAAAGAGCATCTAATATGACATGATATTTTGAATCTATCTATTTAGTTAAAATTTTCAACTAAATTAAGTCAAATTAAATATATAATTTACACATGATACGTGATTTGATAAAAATGTTTTTGTTATTTTGTATAAATATCTATATCTATTAATATAAAAATTAATTTTTAAAAATCGCTTGAAAATTTTGACTAGAAGAATAGATTAGAATAAGTTCAAAATATAAAAATAGATTGGAAGCTTTTTTTTTTTCAGAAAAAAATTAAAAAATTGACCCATTATATAATACATATGAAAATATTAACCTAAAAATTTATCTAATAACTAAGACATCATCTTCATTTTGGGATTTTTGTTAAATTAAAATTAAACAAAAGGGTTTTCCTAGGAAATATAGCACCTAGATAGGTTGCTAGATTAAAAATAAACTAATAAAATTATCCACCCAATAAAAAAAAAATTAGCCATCAGTTTTTAACAGTCAAACATAACTCATGATTACAAACTATAATTATAAAGCTACCAATCCCTAATCAAATCAGATTGATGACTAATTTTATTTTTCTTGCTGTTGACATCTCTAGCAATGATGGCTGAGTAGATTTTGTTCAATTTTATCATTTGATGATGGTTACAGTGATTGTAGTTGTGGGTTTGGATTTAAAGAAGATGATGGTTGTGGCTGGTTTATCTAGTGGAGGATGATAATGGTGGAGTAGTGGAGGTGGTATGGTGGTGGTGATGCTCCAGGTGGATGGTGGCACCTGCTTTCTTTTTTGTCATTCAAAGTTTTGTTTTTAGTATTTTTTATCTTCATTGGTAATGAATGGTATAAACGAAGTAAAAAGATATTATCAGTGTTCATACATTAATTGTACACTAATATAAATTGATAATACTATTTTACCAAGGCATAATACCCATTACCTGTTAGGGTATTGATAATGCTTAATTAATTGATTGGGCTCGGCTGGATACCCACCCAAATGCCATCCCTAATTATGTCCAGTAAATGGGAACAGAATAGCCAACAATTGTACTGGTTCTTGGAGTAACTTGGACTTCCCATTTCATGAAGAGTTGGGGGGCAAGAAGAGCATGAAATGTTGCAGCCTTACAGGTGCCAGAACGTCCTTCAAACTTTCTTTAGCGTTTAGGGCCGGCATAAAAGCGGTGGTGTCTTTCAGATCGCGTAATGTGTGTAGTATTTCTTTTTTCAAAGAATACGAGATAAACTACTTGTCTTTTTTTTACATATAAAAAACTATTGTTCTTGTTGTTGAAAAAAAAAAAAAAAAAAGAAGAGAGTTGGTAGGGTGGCTAAGGATGTTTTTTTTTTTTTTAATTGAATTTAAATGTTGAATCAACAAAGAATTTATTAAAATTTTTTTAGCACATAAAAGGAATGTGAAGAATTTATTAAAAAAATTTAAATACACAAGACTGATGTAAGATGTATGTTTTGAAGACTGTTCGGAAAAAAAATGATTTGATATATAAACTTATTAAAAAATATTTTTGAAAAATAAAATATTAACTATTATAACATACGATCTAACTTTTGGATTTAAAAATAACTTTTAAAATTTTATAACACTTATTTCATTGACTTTTGAAGAAAAACCCCAAAAGCTTAAAAACAAATCCTCGTTTGAAACTTTAATTTACTAATAGAAATGGATAGAAAGGTTCATAAATTTAAAACACTTGGCAATAAAATAGGAAATAATAAAATAGAGGCAAAGAGACGACGACGTTTGAATGACCGCTTAAGACTGGAAACGCTGTCGTCATGCACACCCCTTCGCATTTTGAATTTTGAAAGAGGAAAATTCCAAATCCTTGTAGAAAACGGAGAGAGAGGAAGAGACAAAAATGAATAAGGCAAAGGGCAGCGTTACTTTCGCTTTCAGCGTTTGTTGAGAAAAAAGGAAACCACCTCCACGACACCTCCCCCCCCAACAACAAAAAAAAGAAAACAGAAACTAGAAACTCCTCCTGGTTTCTTCCGTACTTCTCCACGAGATCCTTTACTTTTAAATCCTCTAATCAACCATGAAATCATCTATTCAATTCTCAATTTCTTGTTGTAATCCATAGGAGGTTATTTCTACTAGTTTTTTTTTAGGGTTTTGCGCAGAAGATGTATATCGAGGAAATAAAAGAAGGAGATCAGTATGAGAATTCATGTAGAGACGTTGTCATTTTGGATGCGAAGAGAGTTCTGGTAGGAGCTGGAGCTCGTGCTCTGTTTTACCCTACACTGTTGTACAATGTTTTGAGAAATAAGATTCAATCCGAGTTTCGTTGGTGGGATAGAGTCGATCAGGTATTATAGGAACCCATTAATTACGCTATTTATCTTTTGATTACTGATTTGTTTTATGGAATTTGATCAGATAATTGCTAATGTTTGTTGAAAATGTGAAAGAATAATCGTGATTTTTTTTTCAGTTGCGTAATTTTATTTCTTTAGTGTGTTCGTTCAAGAATACTGACCGACTGGCTGAATTTTTTTCTTTTTTTATTATCCAGTTTATATTGTTAGGAGCTGTTCCGTTTCCGACGGATGTTCCACGATTGAAGAAACTTGGTGTTTCTGGAGTGGTTACATTGAATGAATCATACGAGACTTTGGTTCCCACATCACTCTATCATGTGAGCTTTTGCGTTCGGTTTTTGGATGTCGTAGTGTTATTATATATTGATGATGATAACTGTTTTAATAAATTGTTTGCAGCTAGCAATTATCTTTTTGACAAATTGGTTAAATAATCTTGAGAAATTATTTGCTTAAACGGCCAATTCTACCGTTAAAAGCTTACTTATGTCACAAATTGCTGTCTTTTAATAGTTGAAAACAGAGGGGGAAACAAATTTTGTCTTTGTCCTTTTCACTTGGATATGCCTGGGTGTTGAAATGAACTTATGTTCATTGTTGATTTGTTTTTGTAGGCTCATGATATTGATCACTTGGTCATTCCAACAAGAGACTATCTGTTTGCCCCTTCATTTACTGATATATGCCAAGCTGTAGATTTCATGCATGGTAAGTATGTTCTCAAAGCTCATTTGCTAGCCTTTTATGTCGCAGCATTGCGGTTGTAATTTTTTCCCCCTCCTGAGGGAGTCATTAATAATTGTATTTGTTTGATATTAACCATCCATTTTTTATTTTCGTTGTACTTTGTGAAGAAAATGCCTCTCTTGGGAAGACAACATATGTTCACTGCAAGGCTGGTAGGGGGCGCAGTACAACCATTGTTCTCTGTTACCTGGTATGGATAGATTCAAATTCAACTTACCGAATGTCTTAATTTTTTTAAGCTTTCTTTTAACCTGTTTGAGGTTTTCTGTTTCTTGACAGGTGGAACACAGGCATATGACGCCCAAGGCTGCATATGAGCATGTGAGATCTATTAGGCCTAGGGTACTTTTGGCCCCTTCTCAATGGCAGGTATGGCTGATATAACTTTCATGGGTACATTCATCATTTTAATTCGATCTAACTCTTCTACGGATTTGTACCAAACAAACAATGCTATGGCCGATATAACTTTCATGGGTACATTCATCATTGTAATTCGATCGAACTCTTCTACGGATTTGTACCAAACAAACAATGTTATGGCTGATATAACTTTCATGGGTACATTCATCATTTTAATTCGATCGAACTCTTCTATGGAATTGTACCAAACAAACAAACACTATATATATATAGGAATTTGGACAAAGAAGAGCATGATTGTACAAGCTTCAGTCCATATCAAATGGCTTGGATTGAACGGAAGACAAGAATTTATGATTAATGAGCTGTACACTTATATTTTAACTTTGTGCCTATTTTGATAATGGATCTAACTGTAGTAACTGTCAATTTGTCATTTTCTTTTCATTACATAGAAGTACAATTGTCACTTTATTGGATTGCAAGATACCTTTTATGTTCATTCAATAGCGCTTGGGCTTCTGCTAAAATCATTCCACGTTAACCCCTGTATACAGGCTGTTCAAGACTACTATCTCCTCAAGGTGGAAAAAACTAGTATTTCTGGGTGTATGATAATTAAAAAAGCTTTAGATCTTCCGACCAAAGAGGATGGAGAACAGGACACTGCAGCCTTTGATGATGGATCTGCTGTGTTGGTAACAGAATCTGACCTTGATGGATATGATGCTACCTGTGACTTGGGTGTAGTGGGTAATGATATGTTGGCAGAGCAGAGCCTGGCTTGCAAGGTTCAGTTTGCTAGTCAGGCTGCTATTTCCAGACTTTCATGCCTGTGGCTTGGGTACAACCCTGACCAGAAATCCTCAACGAAGAAGCTCGGAAGCTCCATGGGAGCTAATCAGTTGAGTAGCATTGCTGTGGACATCCGGGTTTGTTGAGATATCAAAATCTACCAAGTGTTAATTTTAAGAGTTTCGGCGGGAGTGTTAATTTAAGAGTTTCGACGGGAGTGTAATTTTTGAGTTCCATTTTTTGTATCTTTTTATCCTAGAACACAACACAAGTGAATGATTGATAGATGTAATTTCCTCAGTTTGCCTCCCTGTTGTGATTTTTCCAAGTTTTAGAGTCATCTACGAAGTGGACGATATGAAGAAGAGAATAGGATCCTTTTGTTGTTCTGCCTGATACATATGCTACTGCAGGGTGGGTTGTTTCAATCTTTCCCGATTCAAAGAAATGGCTGGTGGTATTTGTCATGGGCACTGTTTCTTGTATCGAGTCTGTAATGCGAGTTCTGTTCTTTTAAAGGAAAGAATTTCAAGGTTTTAAACGTACATAATCAAATGTGCTTTTTCTTCGAACAAACTGGATTCTCTTCCCTTCTCGTTCCAGCTGTCTCACAGCTTTTTTGCACATTAACAAATTTGTAAATTTGATGCTTCCAGCCGTTCAAACGCATAGTTGGTATGGTTTTGTTATAGAATTACAGTGTTAATTTTAAATAATAGTACTTCCATTTCTGTGTATCGGATCAGATCCAAACTTAAAACCATTCTAAGACAGTGAAGATGATTTCGAACCTTTTTTTTTTTTAAACAATATTGCAATGTTCCATTATATAATCCGTAAGCATGGTGTTTTGGGTCAAGAATTGCGTTCTTTTGTTTCAGAAACTTTCCCAAGGTACTGTAGAAAATGCCTAATAAATATTTTAGCTATCAAAAGTCGAGACTATAAATGGATGCGAGAGTTTCCGGGAAAAAAAAAAAAAAAAGGATAAAACCAAACCCGAGATAACACCACGGAGAGGTTTTAACAGAAAAGCCCATCTTGTGCTTCACAGAAGCCATGCTGACAACCACCACCTCATCATTTTATCCTCTCCTGTCTAAGCCATCTTCTCCTTGTAAGTCTGCTTCTCTCTGCTCGCAAGTGCCTTGTGTTTACATATTCTGGGTATCTCTCATTTCCCTCACTTTCTCTCTCAAACATAGTTATTGTCATTCTCTTACTAGAACAAAGTCAAATGATATAATTTGGTTTGCACTTATAACATCTACAGGATAAATTTGCTAGCTCATTCTTCTTTCTTCTTCTTTTTGGATGAATATGATGCAAATTGATGCTTAACTTTCCCTGCAATACTAATTTTACCATGTTGGTCTTAGCATCCTAGTCTTCTTATGCTAGTAAACTAACAGAAGCTTTCATGTAAGTATGGATGTTTTGTTGTGATGGGGAGTGCTTATTCCTAAAATGAGGATGTGAAACTTGTAATTGGTTCTTACGTGAAGTGATTTATACTTTTCAATTTGGACACAATTTGCTGAGAGAAATCATCCAAGATGAGCACTCTAAGGTATATGTGGAAACTAAGAAAGGTTGCAATTTGAAATAATTTGAGGCTACGTTGTTGGAATATTTATGAAGTTTTATTTCCCTTGGCTACCATACAATTGAGGGATTTATTTGATTTTTCCCCTATTTCTGTATTGAGATGGTATTTGTTTATTTGAACTTTGTGGCAGACAGAAACTTTACACCATTTCCTGCTTTGGGAGATCTCTTTTCTTTCAAGAAGCGTACTATACGGTGTGGTCACAACTTGAATGATGATGGGTGAGTCATTGACAATATTTCCATGATCTTTTTTATTGTTAACATTTGTTATTGTCTTATAATCAAATACTATATGTATGCCAGAATGCAGAATGGGCATGTAGTATTACATCATGAAGAGAAATTGAGGCGTAGGATCCTCTTTTTCTTTTCTTTCTCATTGGGCTTGCATTCAACTTTGCCTTCTTATGGAAAGACAAAGAGCAATAACCCGTATGATGAAAGACGCCTGCTGGAACAGAACAAGCGGATCCAGAAAGAGAACAATGCACCTGAAGGCTTTCCAAGTTTTATCAGAGAAGGTCCGTTTTTGTGAAATACTACGACTTTATTTTTCATGAGGTTTATGAACAACATGTGGAATCGATTTTTAATGTTTGGGGAATGTCATTCAGGTTTTGAGGTCAAGGTAGTAGCACCGGAGAATTATGTAAAGCGTGACTCAGGGCTTATATACCGGGATTTTGAAGTTGGTAAAGGTGATTGCCCAAAGGATGGTCAACAGGTTTTATCTCATTTTCTTTAACCCACAGGTCTTTCCTGATTTTTCGTGTGGATTTGAGATATGGTAACCATTTATAAGACAAGCTAGAATAGTTTCCAAGTAATGTGCAACAATTACTGCTGAAATTGATTAGTAAATTCAAGATATCAGAACTCTTCATGACTCGTAAATCTATAAAAATCCTGTTCAGTGTTGAGCTGCAATTCACTCTTGAATATTTGCAGGTCACTTTCCACTATGTTGGCTATAATGAGTCAGGTCGTCGCATCGACAGCACCTACTTACAGGGTTCTCCAGCCAAAATCCGCGTGGGCACTAATGCATTGATTCCAGGTGAAAAGACAATATCAAGAACTAGAATCCTGTGTGCTTTTTATCTAGACCATCCATAAAGCTTCCTCATCATCCCCAATGCCTGTTTGTCTTCTTATCTTTTCAACTAGAAGTGGTGCAAATAAAAGTAAATGTCTTGGGAACTTATGCAGGGTTTGAGGAAGGAATTCGAGACATGAGACCTGGAGGAAAGAGAAGGATAATCATTCCTCCAGAACTTGGACCACCGGTTCGTTTCTCAATTGCCTGCTTCCTTCTCTTTTTGCATAATTCAGCATCTCTTCATCCGACATCAACACTCTCCTTTCCTTGATCATGCTGTTTTCCTTGTTATTGATTATATGTGTCAGGGTCCTGGAAATATTACCTGAGTGGTTTAAGGTTAAAATAGAAAAGAAAAGAAGAAAAAATAACCTATATGCTAGTTATTGCTTCACAGTTCTGAGCATATATAGTGGCACACGTGATGCTTCTATTCTAATTCCTGCCTTAGAAACTGAGGCCAAAGACTCCGTATAAAATGCCATATCCCCTTTTACTCTTTCCAAGGTTGCTTCCCCTACATGTGAATTGCCAATGCATTATATATGATCAATAACAGTTGTGTGGAAAACTGCACAAACTATTATTTTCCTGGATTTCTTTGAGCATTTCTCTGTAGAACAATAAAAAAAAAAAAGTTAAATCAAGTACCATTCTTGTAACTCCCTTCAAAAATGAAATGAAGAAGAAAGAAGGATATTCCAAGATTATTGCGAAAACTGAATTCGGTCTTGACATTGGATGCTATTCAGTTACTCACATCCAAACTTGTTGCCAACTATCTAGACCAGGGGTGCTTCCCTGGAGAAAAATAAATTTTAGAGTTATTTCTCTGTCAAGTCCTAAATTTTCATGCTCTGATTCTTTATTTAAAAGAATTTGTTGATTCCCCCATCCTTTGTACAGGTCGGACCTTCCACATTTTTCAGCTCAAAACAGTTTGAAGTTTTTGATGTGGAACTTCTCAACGTTAAGGACTGTCAAAGGAGGACTATAGGATTTTACTCTGATGTTGTGTGCAACTGACAGGCTTTTGTCAAGCCTTAAATAGACAATTTTGTTGGAACACTATCACCCTAAAAGTTTGTAATTCTGTGTGGATTTTTGCCTTGTCACAGAAAGGCAGTGTTGGAAATTAGCATTTGAGTATGCAGAAATTTTCATTTTTATATGACTTTTAACAATTTTCAGGAATATCGTTATTTACTATTTAATAGCTAAAGTGAGTTTTATAAACCTTTACAATCTTGGCTTATAAATGATAAATGGGTTTGGTTATCGTGCTATCATCTCAGTTTCGAAACCAAGACAAAGATGCGTGAGAAAATTTTCTCTTTAATACAATAGCCTGATTGTGGATGCTTGCTTAAGATCTGATCAGGAGGGATTTAGTTTTGAATGGACAAAATTAGGTCCGAGGATGTCCTCTCTCGTGAAAAAAGTTTTCTTAAGTAGGTTTCCAATAATCTTTAGGAGTCGGTTTTCTTGTTTCCATTAGTTTTGCTGCTGTTGGAAAGTTTGGTAAATCCCGAAATCAAGGGATTCTTTTGCTAGTCAACTTTCTGTTAGGTAGTTTTCTAGTTTAGTTGATTCTTTGCCGTTTGTTTCCTAGAATAGATTCTAGAATAGGGCTTTCTATTTTTGTTTTAGGGTTATATAATGTAATGTTTAGTGAAGAATGAATTCAATTCAGTGGAAGCCAAGCATTCCTGCCGGAAATATTTTTTGGTGATCTTGCTGAAAGCTAAAACTCCATTCATGACTAAACCAATTCGGTCTTCATCCTCCTTCAATCCTCTAGGATCTCAATCACTGCAAATTCCATGGGTTCCATCTCCACCGATGACATCATCCACTTTCTCCAAATAACCCAACTAGGCTCCGCATTAGCTGCTATCCGAGGAGATTCCAACAACTATTTCGGAGCCAAAGATCTAAGGAGGACAAACTTTGTTGTGGCCACTGTAATAAACCTTATCACACTAAAACTTGCTGGGACATCCATGGGAAGCCTGCATATTGCATGAGGAATTTTATATTACTCATGGAGTAACTAATGTAAGTTATCCATAACAGAGAGAAAGAAACAGAGAGAATAGAGAAATAAGAAAAAAAAATTGAGGTGAAGTGGAAATTTTTTATCACTTTTAGTAGGTTCGGATATAATTTTATCTTCTTTTTTTTTTTTATGTCAATCTCCCTCTTCAGAAGTAAATCCATTAAGTAACTATTGTATACAGACAGTAATTATTCCTTGAGTATTTTAAAATTTCTTTACACTAGAAGTCACAGAGTCGACAGAAACAGAATCCTTCAGCACAAATGGCCGAAGTTGCTGCAGATCCAAAGAAACCAAGTCCATCTCCATTAACTGCTGAACAAATGGGAATTTTGAAGACCTTGAAATACAACCTCATCGAATCTGGTGCTAAATCTAACTGAGAAAGACAAACAACCTAGGAAAGGTAATTGTGAAATTAATGATCTTGATGTTCTCATTGCTATTAGAAAAGGGGTTAGGTCATGCAATGCACAGAGCATCCTATCTCCAGTTATTTTATATGTTTTAAAGTTATATCTAAACTATAGGGCATTTACCTCAAAACTTGATGACTTGGGGATCCTTAAAAATATTCATGATGCTCTCTTGCCTTGAATTAAAAGAAAAATAAACAAGGAAAGCTGTTAAACCACCCGAAAGGAAGAAGATCGATGGGTGCAAGTGGATCATTGCTATAAAAATTCGAGCAGATGGAAGAATAGACAGATATAAAGCAAGGTTAGTTGCTCAAGGCTATACTCAAACACAAGGTATAGACTATGAAAAGACTTTTGCTCTTTTAGCTAAGTTCAATTTCATTAGAGTGCTTCTTTCATTGGCTGCTAATCTTGATTGAGAATTGCACTAAATGGATGTAAAAAAATACCTTCTTAAATGAAAATTTGAAGAGGAAATGTATATGGATCTACCTCTAGGGTTTGAAGGAGAAAATGATGCTAGAATGATGTGTAGATTGAAGAAGTCCCTATACGGACTGAAACAGTCCCCAAGAACTTGGTTCACTTGATTCAGCACTGCAATGAAACAATTCAGCTACAAAAAAGGGCAAGTCGATCATACCTTCTTCGTGAAACAAGCTATAGATGGAAAGAAATCCATCCTAATTGTATATATAGATGATGTGGTTGTCACTAGAGATGATGTACAAGAAATTGATTATCTTAAGAGATGACTATAGACAAAGTTTAAGGTAAAGGATCTTGATAAACCACAAGTATACTTTTTTGGAATGGAGATAGCAAGGAATAAAACAGATATATTCATTTTTTCAATGAAAGTTCTTGATCTCTTGAGAGAAACTGTAAAACTCAGGTACAGACCAGCTGGGACTCCTATGGAGCGAAATTGGAAGCATAAAATTATAAAAAATGATACGCCTGTAGAGAGGGAATGATATCAAAAGTTGGTGGAAAAATTGACTGACCTCTTACTTTCCAGACCCGACATAACTATAGTGTAAGTGTGGTAAGCCAATTCATTCATTCACCCACTAAAAGGCATTTAGAAATAGTGGATCAAATTCTTCGGTACTTGAAGGGTACACCTAGGAAAGGGATGCTCTTCTAGAAGAATAATCACACAAGTATTGAAGGCTTTGTAGATGCAGATTGGATAGGTTCAGTTGAAGATACGAAGTCTACTACTGGATACTGCATAAAACTATGGGAGAAATGTGGTTACTGGAGAAGCAAGAAACAGATTGTTGTTACAAGGAGTAGTGCAAAGGCAAAATACAGGGCAATTGCTCAAGGTGTTTGTGAGCTAATCTGGTTTGAAAGGTTACAAGAACCAATGAAGTTGTGCAGCGATAATAAGTCAGCCATCAGTATTGTTCATAAGCCGGTCCAACACGACAGGATGAAGCATGTGAGGATAGACCGAAATTACATTAAGTCAGAGCTCAAAAATGAAACATTCACCCTACACTATGTGCCTAAAAAGTCACAAGAGGCTGACATTCTCACGAAGGCATTACTTAAGTCGAGATTTGAATCAAATGTAAGCAAGCTGGGAATGATCGATATACATTCATGAGCTTGAGGGGAAGTGTTGGAAAGTTTGGTAAATCCCAAAATTAAGGGATTCTTTTGTTAGTCAACTTTTTGTTTGTATACTTTAAGTAGTTTCCTAATTTAGTGGATTTTTTGCTATTTGTTTCCTAGAATAGTGTTTTCTATTTTTGTTTTAGGGTTATATAATGTAATGTTTTGTTTAGTGATGAATAAATTCCATTCAGTGGAATTATTTAAGCAACCACTGTTTTCAGCTGCTCATAGAAGAAGGCATTTTTTTAATTTTTTATTTAAATCCTCGTAGCCAGCCAAATTTTGAAGTCATCATGATCAGGCCAATGGAGAAAGATGCCACAGGCAGGAAGGACTTCAGCAATGGGCCACTCTCTGTTCTAACGATGAGTATAAATAGAACACCCAGGAGCTGATTAACTAGCGTTATCACAAGAAGCTTCTTGCACATTGTAAGGGCATTGGATTGACACTGCAACATGGTTTTGGAGAATGTCTGGGAGACGTGTACTGTGGAACTGAAAACCGGGAAAGGCAGGGAGAAAGCTCAAGCAGTTGACAGAGACAGGTTCCTCAGCAAGAGGTTCTTCTGTGGGGATTCTGTTATTGTCGTCCTTAGGAAACCGAGACTCGCACGATGTTTTTATGCATGGAATTTCTCTACATGAAGAAATTTGGGCTGATTGGGAAAAGGAAAAAAATAAAAAAGGCAAAGGAAAACAAGTAGGTTTTCTATGTTCTTGTTTTCTCTATGTTCTTGTTTTCTCACTAATATTAAGATTTGGCTTTCCTATTTTTATCTGATTTCGGGATATCACTCTAGAATTCAAGCAAATATGATGCTATGATTATTGGATGAATTTGAGTTTTCTGAGAGTTTGTTCTCTTGCTTTTGTAGTGTTGTCGTTCATCAATTACCCCTGCATTATCATGATTACTGTATGGTCTTGACCTTTAACACGCATCTAGCTGTAATTGAGGCAAAACAAAGGCGCTTTCTTCTTGATTTTGGTCGAACGTTTGGATCAGCAGCAGCTTTGGACTGGCCTCTCAAGGCCTGCTAAAATGAACTGATAAATTTGCAAAGATGTCTAGAGAGCAAATAGATGTTAATAAAACAAACAGAATCGATGCCATCATTTCACTAGCCATTGAGCTCTTCAGAAAAGAAAAGGGAGCCATTCCTGAAGGTCAGTAATCTCACTTAATTGATGAGATAAATCAATAAGATGCACGAGAAAAATTGCCAGTAAGTGTGAAACTACACTTTTCCATTGCCATGCTCCGGGAAAATCTAAAAAGGGATGCTACTATTATTGGCTTTCTAATGAAGGCTTTCATGAATAAATGTCATTTATACAAATAGCCATAAGCTTATTTATACATGGTAAATACAAGAGAAAAAATGCTACAACAGACGAAAAGGCATATTCAGATGCAACCATCAAGTTTCTTCTGCAGGAGTCCTCTGATAAATAACTGTCTCATCCGAACTTGCTTTGGCATGATACTGCCCGTAGAATGCATATATTCCAATCATGATGATGCTGAGGACAACAAATCTCACCCATGCTTCATGGTGCAACTGCATAAAGCAAAGTCAACCATCATTAGCTAGTTTTTCTATAAGAATCATTTGATTTCAGAATTGGCAATTTTTAAGGAGGGATTGTTGTAAAAATGATTCTTTAAAAGTGCACCTGAGCAAACAGGAAGATGTTGAAGAAGATGCAAACAGCTGGCACAATGGGAACCCCGGGACATGAAAACCCCGGAGTGGCTGTGTAAGCCTGAGAGAAAAATAAACGGAAGTTACAAGCCAATCAAAATATTCACAGTATTGGAGAAAATCATGAAGAAGGGGGAGAAAAAAAGGCCGTTTTATAACTTATATAGTTAGCCTGTCTTTGATTAAAATTATGGCCAAGTGATGATTAAATAGATACAAAAAAAAAAAAATCTCAGAAAAAAGAACCGGGAAATCAAAAGAGGAAATATTTGTTAGATGATGATGCCATTAGTGCTCCAGAAGCATTACAGGCACTGAGAAATTCTACTTCCAAAATGTACTTATGCACACAGTATAGGTTAAAGAAAGGTGCAATGACTCGTCATGCCCAGAACAAAGACCAACATTCAAAAGCCAGAAGTGCTCTCAAGTCTTTTTTGATTCATTTTGCTAATAATCAGTGTTTCATGTGTGAAAAGAAAACAAATAAATTCTCATTAAAACACCCACAATCCAAAGACCATAGCGCTCTCGAGTCTTTTTTTATTCATTTTGCTAATAATCAGTGTTTCATGTGTGACGAGAAAACAAATAAATTGTCATCAAACACCCTCAATCCAAAGACCACTCCCTCATCCACCACAACACCCCCCTCCAACAACAACACACACACACTAGAGAGCAGAACTCACCACCATCTAAATGATAGCATGATTTAATAGCATTTCGTCAATATCAAACAAGAGAATCACAAATTTAATCTACACAACACTATGACAGTAGTATCAGATTTTTACCCTCATGAGGGATGCTTCATATGATTATCATGCAGTATGTAACTAGTAAGAAGAAACATTCCACATATGCTGCAATATAATACTCACTTGACGGCAACAAAGAGCAGCAATAGCAAGTATAGCTATAACAACTGCCACAACCAAAAAAATAAATGAAGCACTAAAACGGTAGAAGAGTCCAGCAGCAAAACCACAAGAGGCAACTATGATAAGGCAAAGAATCCCTTCCCTCCACGCTGAAGTCCATCCTGAAGAAACTTGACTCGCCGTCTTATCCTTCCAGCGAAGGGTTACGACGCATGCTGAAACCACAGAATAACCTGTCTGCAACCAATCTAATACAATTTCAGGTGCATATAACCCACTACTAAAAGTCAAAGCACTCAATCACTACTGATGACAACAAGCATAAAACTTAAGAATTCATTTCCTGCCTATCACACAAACACATCACAGTATGCCATGTCAGTTGTGCTTCCATTCATGTTGCAGGAACTGGCAGGCATACTGGGATGTGAATGGTAAGTGCAGTTAGCAGTTTTAGAAGATCGATAGCAACTGCATCGCAAACAGGATATAAATGATTCTGTTGACACCAGAATTTTAATACAGAAAAAGGATCAGACTGACGTACCAATGCACCAACTGAAAGAATGTGTGAGAGCACGTGCACGTTAAGCAACCCTCCCAGAATGCCAGCAACAATACCAACCCAGACTTGAGAATGAATAGGAGTGTGGCGTGTAGGGTGCACTTTACTAAATAAAGAAGGCAGTAAACCATCCCTTCCAAGACCCAAATATAATCGAGACTGTTTATGAGAAACAAGCTGTCACTCACAGTTGCATAGCTATGAGAGCATGTAATTATATGCAAGGTCAATGTGTGTCACCTGAACGTAAAGACCAACTAAAAGGGTCGTTGTAAGTCCAGCAACAGCACCTACGCTGATTAAAACAGAAACATATTTCAAGCCCTTGGACGTAAAAGCCTCAGCCAAAGGAGCGTCTTCCCCAAGGCGATAGTAAGGTACCATCCCAGTGAGCACCAAACAGACTCCAATATAAAGTGCAATGCATATGAAAAGGCTTCCGATGATGCCTAACGGCAGGTCTCGCTGAAAATCAAACAAATCAGGAAAACAAAATTTATACAATCAGATTATGTACATAATGATTCAAATCATTATTAGAATTTTGCATAAGCTGATTTTTTGCACCAAATCAACAAAACATGCCTGTGGTCTCCTAGATTCTTCAGCTGAATTTGCAACTGCATCAAACCCAACATATGCAAAGAACACTACAGTGGCTCCAGTCAATATCTCTTTTACACCATGTGGAGCAAAAGGTGACCAGTTTGAAACATCAACCTCAAAAGCACCCACAAAGATTACAATAATAACAATGACAACCTGCACCAAAGCCAAACTAATCCATTACATGTATTCTAATCTCATATCCTTCATCAATGTTAGCACACAATATTCAACAGTAACTCTGTGTGCAAGCATACATACCTTTAATACAGTCATGAAAGAGTTCACAATCGAAGATTCTCCAACACCCAAACACAAAATTATAGTCAAAATAGCAAGTAAAATTGGTGCTAACAAATTTATCGAAAGAGTTCCTCCAAAGAACTCTTCACCACCATGTCCAATCCAACTCGGAATTTTATCTTTAAACACAGGGAACATCTCTAAAATTGTAACAACATAACTTGCTAAGCTTCTTGCTATACTAGCTGCCCCAATGTGATAATCAATCATCAATTGCCCAAAAACAAGAAAAGCAGTAAGCTCATTGAAAGCTGAATATGCATACAAGTATGCTCCTCCAACAACAGCAGGTAAACGTGAAGCTAACTCTGCATAACACAGTGCATTTAACACGCACGATAACCCAGCTATTATAAAACTACATGTCACCCCTGCATTGTAACATACCAAGAACACAATTAATAAGGATAATTCAATAAAAGCACAAATCAAGTCATTCATACTATTCATATCAATAAAAAAACTGGATACATTTGTACATAAAATTGGACAAGACAACTCCACTTGTTCTAGTATCTGGTGTGTACATGAGACAGAATTATTTATATATTTCACGTCCCAGTAGGCAGATTTCTGTCCTCTCCCCCATTGCACATCCTTGTCATCTCCAATCTACTAAGAGCGTTTGGTGAACAAACAAAACTAGAGTAGACATGACCAGATGGTTTAAGACCTTATCAGGGGAGGACGTAGAAAATCTGGCACTGTTTCTTCCAATCCCATTTGTGCACCAAACAAAAGTACAACTGTGATTGGCCGGCACAATCAATTCCAATTTCACATGCCAAATCCTACCAATGTAATCCATATATAACATATATATAAACATAAACGTTGTAAAACCTTTTAATTGAATATTGTAACTTTGAACTTAAGGTATCTCTACACTATTAATTATTTAAAATTCGAAAGCTTTCTACTTGCTATCTATCTAAACTTTTCTTTTTATTCAAGGTCAGAGGAATCCTCAGTTCAGCTTGTGTATCAGCAGAGATTAACTTCCCTCCTGGGCAATTTTAAGGGCTATCTATCTCATACCAAACTAACTCAAATTCTACATTGATCAGAGCTGAGGAAAATACTATACAGTAAATAACTCATACTCGCTACTATATGGTATTACTTATTTTGTATCAAATAAAATCACGTGATATACGTGCTTAAAGAACTGGGGTTAGATTGCAATGGAGAATACAAACCAGGGCCAGCATCGCGGGCGACGGTGCCGGTTACAACAAAGATGCCGGCACCGATGGAGGCACCAACACCGAGGAGGATGAGATCGAGGAGGCCGAGGCGACGCACGAGGGCATCAGTGGAATTGCGGGAGACGAGGTTGGTGTCATGTGGAGAATTTAAGGGTTTGGTCCTGAGAGCTGAGGAGCAGAAGTGAGAGAACCAAAAAGAGGAAGAGGAAGAAGAAGAAGGAGAAGACACAGTTTTCTGGCCTCCCATTGGTAAGAGGATTTTGTTTTTTCAGAAATCTTACAAGATCTTATAAAATGATTGCAACTGTCCGTTGGTTTTGTTTCTGTTAATATTGTGTCTGTGTAAGAGACTGGGAGCTGTATACGGTGCGGATTGGATGCATGAGTTTGATTAATGCTCATGTGCTGTACGTCATGGATGATGTATCTACGTTCCTCTTCTTCCTTTCCTTACATTACATTACAATTAGAATCATTTTAGCAGCAACTGTTCGTTGACTGTTCTTTTTTTTTTCCTTTTTCGCCACAGGCCCACAGCCCTTTTGCATTTAAGTGAACTTTACTTCCGTTTCAGTCCCTTTTTTATAATTTTTTTTTATTATTAAAATTTTATTATATTTGATTTTTGTCAATCTCTCTCTCTCTTATAGTAAACTTTTCTTTCATATTAGTTCCTGTTTTATAACCTTTTTTTCTTTTGGTGAGTAAAATTTTATTATATTTGATTTTTATCTTTATAATAAATATTTTTTAAAATTTTTAATTTATTTCATTTTAGTTCCTAAAAATTTAAAATAAAAATACCTAATCTCTCAATTGACGCACTACACATGCCTTTTCTTTTCTTTTTTCCCTTTGGTTTTTTCTGTGTTTTTCCCATCAATTTATATTCTTTTTTTATTTGATTGGATGTTAAAATTTTAAAAAATCAATTTTTTCTTTGCTTTTTTCATTAATGTATGTTTTTTTTTTAATTGGGTGCTAAAATTTTAAAAAAATTAATCATAACTTTTTTTTACACAAATTGATGATTATATAATATATCTTTTTATATTTTGAAATTAACATATACTTCAGCTTATATTATTTTATTATTTAAATTTTATTTTTTGAATTTATCATTTTTTTTATAAAAATTCTCATCCAATTAATATTTTTTATGTGAAATTTTATTTACTAATATGATATAATTTATTTTTCTCTATATTTGAATTTTAGAATAAAATTTTAAAACATGATTGTTTTTAAAAAAAATAAAATAAATTTGTATAATATATATAAATAAAATTTCTTACATTTATGTTCTTCTTCTTCTTCGAATATAAAAGTATATAGGTCGGAAACCAAAACTTAGCTCCTTAACGGTATCTAGTATCTCGAGCCTAATCTTGATCTAACAACGCCACGTACCATTATGTTCTTCATTTATGCAAATTAATGGCTAGCTTTGCCGCCTATGTTTAATTTGTGCATTATTCATTATATTATCTATATCTAAGTGGTCGGTTCTGCCGCCCATTTCAATTCCGTATTTCAATTGATTTTATTTCATACCTACATCATTCATTATATTCCCGGGGCTAGATGGTGTGTGTGTATTTTATTCTAAAAGATTAAAAGTGTATTTCAAATAATTCATCTCGATTCACTATATATGGTCAAGACATATAAAAAAATTATTGAATCGTTCATTTTATTAAAAATCAACTATATATCTTCCAACATAATACAAATTATTTACTATAAATATTTTTTTAACATTATAGAACCAATTTATTCGAAATAAGATAATTAAAATAATTTTTTAAATGAACCAACCAATTATTCAAATACTGTTTTTTTATGCTAATTTTATTGATTATTTTGTCAATAAATATATATAGATCAAAAGCATATACTTAAAAATAATAATAATAATAATCTTCTCACCAACATTAAATAAGAATAAATTTTATTTTTTTATTGGTTAATTCTTATGCAAGTCTATACATTAATTGTAATTTTATTGTTTAAATTCATTCTTATAAAAAATATAATTTTAAAGTATTTGTTTTTGAATTCTTAATTAATATTGTAGGTTTAAATTATTACAAGTTTTTATTTAAGAATTCCTAAATAAAGAAGAATAAATCATGCTTTTTAAGTAGAAATTTTATGAAAAAAAACAAAAAATAGTAATAATCAAATAAAAAATTATTACATTTTGAAATAATTTTTTTCTATTTACCAATAACGTTGCATGAATAATTTCAACAATTATTTTTTCTCATCATCATTAAATCAAAAAAAAATTCATTTGTTAATTTTTGTTAAAATTTGTCCATTAATTGTAATGTTTTTAAGAATACAATACTTCAAAAATTATATTTTTAAAGTTTTTCAATTTTTTATTAATATTTTAGTTAAAATTATTATAATTTTTAATTTTAAAATCAATGCATAGAGAATAATTATTTATTTATTTTTAAGTAGATAATTTATAAAAGCACTAGAAAAATTAATTAAATTAAATATTATAATTAAAGAAATGAAAATTTTAAAATAATTTTATTCTATTGGACCCACGGCATAGCACGGGCAACCGGCTAGTTTCAACTAATTGTCTAGGCAAATCGGTAAAATAAAAATCATTATAATTTTATGGTCATCGTCACTACTTAAATATACTAAAATATATTAAAATTAAACAAAAAAAATCCGCCTAACTTTGTGATTTTTAATCAAAATTTTATAATTAATTAATTCTTTCTTGTGTTTTTTAATATATTCCATTCTTAAGAAAAACATAATTTATTTTTTTTATGCATAGATTTTTAAATAAAAATTTGTAAGATTCTACGTATGTGTAAATTTAATAGTTTTTTTTAATAAGATTGCATCAAAAAATTTAAAGCAATGATTAATTAAAAATTGCATAAAAATTTTAAAATTAAGATAAATGTTTATATTATTAATGAGAAGAATAATTTTTTATAGTATGAATATTAGGTTTATACACACGCTCAAAATAATAAATAATGTTAGTATAAAAAAAACTATATTTGAAAAGTATGGTAACTTCGGGTGTTTTTTGTTTAAAAAATGATTTTAATTATTTTATTTGAGGGGAATTGATTTCAAAATATACATTAAAAAAAAAAAGGCAAATGTCAAGTGTTTTGTGTTTTGTGTGTACATGTATAGTCAATATCCAATTGAAAAATATCTACAAAAGTGATTTTGATAAATTTTGATTACAAAAAAAAAAAAAAAAAAAAAGCAAATAAAACACATAGATTGTATTATAGAATGTATTTTTTTCCTTCTTCTTAATAGATATTTTTGCTTCTAAATCATATAGGCTTGGTTCTCATGTATAGGTTTCATATGTATAATAATCAATCTTTTTCTTCTTTTTCTTTTTTCATTTCTTACTTTTAATTATTACTTAAAAGCAAAAGAACAAAAATTTTCCTATTCAAAAATTCAAGCAAATATTTTGGAAAATCGATCTCCTTTCTTCAACCATTTTATAGATTAAGCCCACAATAAGCAAACTCTCTTTTTTAAAATGAAGAAATCAAAATTATGATCAATAATCAAAGTTACCAAAAATGGGTTTAGTCATTGTCTTCTCTCTCTTCGTCTTTCTCTATATTAGCAACCAAACCGCACTATAAATGAGTTTGAGAATAAAAAAAAATTAAAAAAAAATCAGATATCAAAGTATATAATTTATTCAAATTTCATATTAAATGCCTAAAAAAAGCTAAAAAACACAACAATAATATCACAAATGCATTAGTATAGGCTGAAAATAACAATTATATCATCCCGGATGCACGAAAAAAGGGTCAAAATTATAACAATATCAAGTAAATAGTACACATAAGAAAATTACAATAATATCATGTAAATAGTAAAAGCAATGGTTAAATGGGTCTTGGTGAGTAGTAAAAGAAGAGTAAATTTACTTTGTGTTTTAGTAGTTTTTGTTAATTTCGGATGATTTATGGTATTAAAAAATTTAATAGAACCATATAAACTAAGTTAATATCCAATTCTCCCCCTAAATCTCTTTTATTCTTATTTCTATTGCAAATAAATAAATAAATAAAATAATACAAAAAAGGGCAAATAGAGAGAAAAGATATAAATTTAAATAAATATTTCATATTAATCTAATTAAAAAAAAAAGGAGAGAAGAAAGAAAGTTTAAGAATCAAAATAAATCCGATCAAAGGAAAAATTAAAAAGAATTAAAAAAAACAAATGCTTAAATTAAAAAAAAAAAAGGAGGGACACAATTGGAGGAAAATTTACGAAAGTGCTTGATTAATTACAATTTGAGTGCCATTAAAGTTCAAATCACCCAAATAATACTTAATCCGACAAATTAGGTGAAATCAAGGATCAAAATAAATTTTTATCCAAAAAAAAATCTAATTTCAACTTATAAAAACTAGCTTTTCTCTCCACAAAAGAAAAAAATTCTCCATCTCTCTCAAAATTGCAAGCAACTTGTTCTCCATTCTAACTAGTTTGCAAGCTTTTTTCCACCTTTCAAATCCATAAAAATACCATATTTTTCCATTAACCAAGTCATATTCCTCCATCAAAACCATCACCGAGCATCCTCCCCCTATTTAACCAACCACCATAACACCCTCAACACTTCTAGCCACCCTCCTCCACCAAAAAAAAAAACCACAAAAAGCTCTACATGAAAAATACCGAAAACAGAAAAGAAAACAACAAAACATATGCTTAACTAACACCATACATATTTATCCGATCGAATATTTCTCTTTTAAATTGATCGTTTTCAATCAATTTTGACCTCAATGGCCACCATCCGTGATAGCCACTACTAGATTGACCTATCCCCACTGATTAGAGGAGGAGATGATGATGAACGAAAGAGAAATTAGAGTTTGAAACACCACGACTTGACTCATTCATATCTTTTAATTCCGACCAAATCTCCAATAACCACCACCAAAAACCTAGCCATTTGAGTCCTCCGAGCATTACATCCTAAATTCGTGGCCCAAAGTCGCCAAAAAATGATATAATTGACAACTACCTATTTTCGACCCATTTTAAAGAACAAAAAAAATTGATCAATCGAGACCAAATCGGACATCCTAACCATGACGAAACCTTCCTCTCGGTCTCACAAGTTTATCAATATCCCTAGAACCCCAAATCATTACCGGAATCATCTTCGATGAAAAAAAAGATCCAATCAAAACTTTAAAGGCTCCG